ATTTCTAATTCTTAAAAATATAAATTTTTAAATAACATTTAAAACATTTTTTTCACTTTAATGATTTTATTTTAAACACTGAAAAATATTTTCATCAAACAAAAAATTAGTACAACCATCTAATCAGATCTCAGAGGAAATAAAGAGTTTTGCAATTAATTGTTGTACTGTAAAAATAACTGTTTAGTTTACAATAAACATATTTTTCTCGGAAAAGAAATAATTAAAGAAAAAAACACAAGTTTTTTTCTGTTTTTAACCAACAAATACGCTACTTCATTAATTATTACTTTATTATTATTATTATTATTATTATAGTTAAGTCATGTGCCAGCCGGAGGATCAACTGTGTTCCCACGAATTGGAGTTGAAGTGAAACCTGTGAAGGTAACTCAATTTTTATTCCAAAGAATTTTTACGACGCGTTAGTTACAACTTATGGCAAAACCACTTGCTATATTTTCATATGGAACTAATTCCAAAAAATTACTAAAAATATAGAAAAAGTTTAGCGTGAGTAAAAAATTACTGAGTTAGGAGACCCATACATTTTTTCTAAAATAAAATAAAAGTTATTGCAAGACAATGATGGATTAAGATATCTAATATTTTTTTTAAAATTTAAAGCTGTTTCAGAATTGTATCTGTAATGAAAATTAAATATTATTTAAACAAAAATCTAACGACCAAAAATTTTGATAACAACAATCGTGTTGAAATGTTTTACCACAATAAAAGAAAAGACTCACAAATGTTTTGCAAAATTTGATTTGAAGATTCTATTAAACGTCCCTTTTAACACGTTCACTCCGGGGTGACCCACCGGTGGGTCACGCTAGATTATCTCATCTTGGCAGCGCACCGGAGTAAAAACTAGTAACAATAAATGTCATTTTTTTGTTTTTTTCCGGGAATGATAAAAATCCATAACTACCAATTTTTTTTAACGGATGCAATTTTTTTATTGAATTGCTTCTTCGCCGTGATAAATTTCTTTACAGTGATTTGTTATTGTTGTGAATAGATTAACTCCTCCCGAATATTATTTAATATTGAAATAGTTCTTCTACCAGTATTTTCTATTTTCCGTCCCGCTTTCAGGCGCAATACCCGGCGTGAATGCGTTAAGAAATAATTAAGGGATGCCAAAAGCTCCGTGTTCGTGAGAACGTGAAACAGAATCCCTCCGNATTAAGACGTTTATTAGTAAAATAATATGAAAAATATAGTGGCTTATGTGAAAAGAATATAATTTTTTCTTAGGTATGATTAAATATAAAGCAATAATGACTTTAAAACCATTAGCTCTATGAACTTAGTTTTGATTCTATTTGATTCAGTAGAAAAAACACATTAGAAACAGTACCTCACTTGTCTTGATAGCTACGTTAAGAGTATATCCACCTTATACCCCTTCCCACAATAAATTCAATATGGCGGCAAAAGATTACATCGGATAAGAAGGTCAAACTTCATATATCAATATCGGGTTTAAGCCGCAACTTTTAAAACAGTTACTAGCTTTCCTCGGAGTATTTCCAGATTCAAATACTTAAGAAATACCTTATTTACTACATTGAATATAATGATTTTTCTTCAAAAAACTGTTGTCTTACGAGAAACAGTAGTTTTGCAAAGCATTGTGTGCTGTGAGATTTTAATTATGGCCCAACGGTCCAATTCCTTCACGTGAATAGGATTTTAGAGGAAACAAAAGGAAGAAGAAACACGGAATAAAGGCTTCCGTCTTTTGCCTGCAATTCCTTTAATACTCCGCAAACTATTATTCATTTTTATAGTAAATTAACACAATATATTTGTGATATTATTTTTGGAAACGTACTGTTAGGAAATACAAAAGGTATAAATGAACTGGAAAATTAAAATAAGTAAATTTTATTTTCAGTTCTATTAACAAAATTAACTGCATATTTTATGATTTTTTTAAATATGTAAGCAGTTTATATACGTAATTCAGGTTTCCGTCAAGTTTTCTCTAATATTTGAATAACAAATAAAGTTAAGGTGCAATAGACATCACTTTATTCAAATCTTGCCCTTCAACTTCAATATGACATAACAAATGAAGAAGCCTCAATGCTAATAGTGTCGTTACATCAAACACATGATTTTGTTCAAAATATGTTTAAGGGTCAAAACCAGCCAAAAAGAACACAAGCACAAAAGACACGACAAATAACACTATTATCAAAAGGGTTTATCGTTAAAAACCCGGAAATGCAAATCGCGCCGATGATTCTTTTTCCAAACTGTGTTTTATTTTTATTCTTGACACGCAACTAAATATGAATTACAAAAAATCATTTAGAGGCTTTTAAAGAAATCGTCTGCTACACGCTTTGTTGCCATATCGAATTTCTAAATTTTGGCGCCCAATTAATGAATGGGAAGATGGTGGAATGAGAAGCTTTTAGCCATTTAGATTTCGGAAGTAAATAGAAGCTAAGGAGTAAAGGAAGCGTGAAGCGCTGTCACTAAAAAATGTATGCCGGCCATTAGATTACTGACTCACGTATAAAATGATAGAAATTTTCTGAGTGTTGCCAATAAAGGTGATTGAACTTTGTGGTCTGAGGAGGCATTTTAAAAAGTTTCGAAGTTGAGTGTTAATGTGTTTCCAATATCCGGAGATGAAAGTGGATATATTTTAAATGGTACTCAAAAGATTGAAATAAAATCACTGATACGCTTGGTTTCAAAAATTAATCGATCCCACGTGAAATTTTTTCACTTGTTATCATCTTGGAATTAGTTTGTGTAGAATACGAAATAATTTCGTATTTATTTACACTTATTATTATTAAGAAAAGTTTAAAGTTACATAGTTTACAGTTCCAGATTATTATCGAACAGTTCTATAAATTTGCTCCAGAAGACTCTTGAAAAAACTATAGTTGAACTCTAAAATATTCTACAAGGAAAAGTTTGCTTAGATTTTAATTTATGAACTAGGGACAGCTATAAAAGGATGGACAGAGTGTAATAACTTTCTTAAAAAAATTGTGCATCATCGTTATAAGAAGATACATGTTATAGTTGTTTGATATAATACTAAATTGCGAAGCTGAAAATATTATTGAAGAAATGTTTTCGAATAAGTGAAGAAATAGTTGTGAAACATAACGTTTTCCTTGCCATATCTTTATCGAAACAATATAGAAAGAGCATTCATCCAACACTTAAGAAATATTGTTTTGGAAGACCTGGTAGCATGAAAGTTAGAGTTAACATAAGCATGGTGAAAACTGTCTAGAAATCATTTGGAACTGAAAATTTTTTCGCTATATGCTTGATTTTCTATGGTAGTAAGCTGCAAAAAATCATTAAATCATTTTTAGCGAAGTTATGGCTTTAATAACTCCAGTATGCTGTTCATCAATAAAAGAAAAAGCATTGTAAGTTTAAACATTTTAATTCTCATTGGCAAATTGTATTTTTTATTTATTCAGTTCGTATAACAATAAACATTTTACCATGTTAACTATAAGAAATAATGATTAACAAATGTTAAATAATACTAAATTTCATTTAATTATAATTTAAAAAGTTTATAAAATAAATATGACATTTATCGTAAGTATAGTCTGTGTTCATGATGAAAAATGATTAGAAGGTTTTTTTCATAACAAAAAATACTTTCTTTCATGCTATGTGATGTGTTGTAATGCTACGTGTTTTAATAAGCTACAAAAAATCAGTAAAGTAGTTCTAAAACATTTATTAAAAAGAAAAAGCATAGAAAATAAAAAAAAATTTAATTGTTGTAAATGAATTGAATTTTACCTCATTAACTTTTTCTTAACATGGACATTTCATAAAGTTAACTATAGATAAGACTAATTATTTTCGTGATCCAAAAAAAACTGTCTCCTTTGTATTTTGGTTCACTTAAGAGAATACTGTGAAATAATATTTCTTTTTCGTTTTCAAATTTAAAGTTTAACATATTTCTTTTAAAATTTCTTAAGTGTGTGCTAATTTTTTCAGGAAAGAAAAAAAACTTTTAAAATTAAAAAAAAAAGTGAACTTTATTAAAAAAAAACATTTTTATGTAGGTTTTTATCTAATTAAATATAAATATTTCACATTTTTTTAGGTATGACTAATAAATAAAATTATTTTTTTAAGTTTAATGTTCGATTTCTTAATAAAATGTAGAGGGTAGCAGATTAATAAAATGCTTTTTTTGTAGCAATCTTTGTACCATTTTATACCTATCCTTATGATGTTCGTAAATTTTGATATTCAACAATAATATTACTGTGCTTCTTTATTAAAATTTTGTTTTAAGAAGGGACAACGGTGTCCTTCACATATATTTTTTTCTGACGCCCTAACTTCCAGTTAAAATATATAAATAAATATATATTTAAAATATATATTATAATATATTATTAATATACATATTATTAAATACATAGTTAAAATATGCATTTTGATATTTTTTAATTCTAAGAAATAGTCTAATAGTTCTTAAAAATAATCTGTATAGACTATGGGAATTACATTTCTACTAAAATAAAAAATCCAAAAAAAAAGTTGTTTGAAATTTTTTTTCCATTCATATTCAAAATATAATTAATAATTTATTTTGCAAATTATAAATTTTTAAAAATGAATAACTGTTTCTCTTAGATCTAAATAACTTCGATTTAGATTTCAACTTTAACGCAGAAAAAGAAATCGGAGTTTCATGCTTAACTATAAATCTTCATAACCATAAATTATTAAAATCCTAAATATAATATTCTTTTCTTGTTTTAGTCTAAATTAATACAAAATGATGAAAAATATGTTTCAATAAAAATTCTGCTTCAAAAGGTTAGAACAGTTTTGAGATATATTGTTTTTATTTTACATTATGTATAAAATATTGTGTTTCAATGATATATTTCATGAAATTTTAAGATAACTGTGTATAATTTGTGTTACTGAAAAATAGTATCGTAATTGAAAATTGCTTAAATTTTTAATTGCAGAAACCCACCATGGTGGAACAGACGATCACGGCTAGAGAGGATACTATGTGGAGTATCAGGGATATGTTTAGTGATGTGTACTGCAATGGCAATTGCGCTTGCAATTATCGGCTATCATTATCAAACAATGAAATCAGGTAAAATATTTTCAAATGGACTAATAAACTAACTTTCCTCTTTAGTTATCTAATAGCTCAGAAAAATTGATTGAAAAATAAATCTAACGTTAAATTAAACACGGTGAAAAAAATTCTTCTAAAATTACTGCACTGTATAGTAAAGATATATCTATTAAAAAAAACATAATTCTGAAAATATAACCATACTATACGGTATTCAAGCCATTCATATGAAAACAGTTTCCGTACATATGGTAATGGTTTATTGGTAGCTCTCGTTTTCAAAATTATAGCTCTTATTGCCACACATTTAGTAAAAGAAAAAGAATTGAGAAACCAATGAAAGAGAATAAATGGGTTTTATATCATGCTCTAAGACAAGGTATCATAAAATTGCAATATTTTACCACATTTATCAAATTTCAACGCATATTATAAAACAATATTTTATTGTTTATTTTATCAAACTTATCATCAAAACGCTTCGGTAAAATTAGCATAATTTTTGAATAATCAGAAACACAGTAAATTTTATTATGTTCTGGTAGTTTTGACAATAGTCTTTTTTCTAAGTTTCAATATCAGACAGACCTGTCAACTCTCATACAGACAATACACACAATTTTCATACAGACCTGTCAACTCTCAGGTTTCAGGTCAGAGTTTCAGACTCTTGTGTTCGATTTCAGAATCTCCGACCAACAAGGTATTTTTTTCTGGATTTTTTTCTAAATAACACAATGAGTTTGAGAAACCAGTCACATTTTGCATACAGCCCCAAAACTCTTGCTCCTAGATAAGTGATTTTTTAGCTCGAATGTGTTTAGTTTAACGTTAATTCCTTTCAATTTTTATTCCTTCCTTATTCCTTTTTAGAGCCATCCCAGATTCATTTTTCATCGTTAATTCCTTTATGTTAGAGAAATGTTTCTGATGAATATATCAATGTTTTTCGAATATATTCATAATATTTATAAGGCTTTTTAATTTCAATAAGGTGTTTTGATTTGTGAAATTAATCTGTATAAGTTTTTTTTCCACATTACATTTTCTCGATGCTGAAAATTAGGATTTCAAATTCACTAAACGAAAGAGTATTTTTTTATGCTCTTTTATTTGATATAATAAAACAAATAACTCAACTTTACATGTAAAACCATTATTAGTTTCTTAGTGAAATATCGTTTACTAAATTTTTTTTTCTTTTTCTCGGAAACGAAACACTTTTGAATTATTTTTCCTGGAATTTTTCAAACATTTGACTTTTTTTAAATTTGGTTAAGATATGAAAAGAAAAACTAGCTCAACACATATGTTTGATGAAAATTATGATGTGTTGCACAATATTTGTTTGACACGTCGAAGTGTTTAGTTTATATGCGACATTTTCTTGTAGAATTTTATGGCTATAAGTTTCATTACATAAAAAACCTGAAAATTCATGCCTTGATTCCGCATTAGAAATTTTTTTTTAGTATTTTTAGAAAATAAAGCTCAGAATGTAAAAAATATCACAATTTTATATACAAAGCAAATTAATCTCACGATTAAAAGCCTCTTAATATGCGATACGACAAAATTAGCTATACTCAAAATCCATAATATTATTTTCTTAAATCCAACATTTTTAGTATTTAGCTTAGCATATAATTTCAAAGTTCTTCATTTGGATAATTTAAAAAAAAAAAAAAACTAAAATTTATTGACTATTTTTCGTTCTAATAACAACGAAAGTTAAAAATTACTGCGATTATTGAAAAAATATTTTCTTTAAACTGAAAACTGATGTAAGTTCGAAAGCTGCAAAAATTCGGGATAAAATTACAGTATTAAGTGCCGACACTTTGGGTGCATCCTCCATATAATATGCCATGTTATACTGTAATTTTTATTTATTTAGATTGATTCTATGATTTTAAGGGGATTATTACTGTAAAAATTTCTGTATATCAAATTTTTTGTTCCGTAACATGTACACTGTAAAACAATCCGGATTAAATTATGGTAAAAAGGATTGCCCTGAGTCCTAAGTAATCCGTAAAGTATATTTTACTGTAAAATACCTTAAAATTTTATACCGTTATTTTTGCAGCAATATCTATTTAATCGAAATGATTCAAAAATTTTATAGTAAATGTTACGATAAAAATTAAGGCATATCAGATTGTTCCGCAACATTTTACTGTAAATCATTTAGGTATAACAAAAACCCTGAGAGAGCACTGCACCCTGAATGCCGTTTCCGATTTACTCTGTACTTATATCACTTTTATCATCTGATGTCTAGAAAATCCTTACATAGTCTATTTTTCGATGAAACAAAATTGAAAATATCCATAAATAAGTTTTAACTTAATAGTTATACTCCACATATTCCAAACAAAAAAATTATTCACGCAAAAGAGTTTTACCTAACACATTTTTTTTATTCTGATTTTAAGAGAATTCTCCGTATTAAGCTTCGAGTATTATATCCTAAATGCCGTTTCCGATTTAACCTGTACTTATATCACTTTTATCATCTGATGTCTAGAAAATCCGTACATAGTCTATTTTTAGATATAACAAAATTGAAAATATCGACAAATAAGTTTTAACTTAATAGTTATACTCCACATATTCCACACAAAAAAAAATATTCATGCAAAAGAGTTTTACATAACACAATTTTTATTCTGATTTTAAGAGAATTCTCCGTATCTCTTCTGATTTTAAGATAATTCTTCGAGTATTATATCAAGTATTGACAAGAAAAATAAACGTGTTGCGTTGAGGGAAAAGATAGCAGCTCCCCGCTCCTCTCTGTAAAGGTTGTTTTTCCTTCTTAAGAAGCTTATTACGGAAAAGCGGCAGTATTGGGCAAAATTACGGCTTCTCCGTGAAATAAGGCGCAATATGTGAATTGAATAATAAGAATAAATTGAATATATGAATTGAATATAGTACTTACCAACGGCTATCAAAGAAGATTTAAGAAGTTTTTTTACTGATTCTTTATTTCCTAATATTTTTTTTATTTCATTTAATTTTAATTGTTTATTAAATATGCTAATTTTATTTATTTTCTTACGTTTATTTATAAATAATAATTTTTTTATTTACTTTACAAAAATTCTGGTGAGTGTGTGTGTGTGTGTTTTTTAATAATAATATGAACTGAAATATTACTTCGACGATTTTTTTTAAAAATCATTCGAAAGAAAAGTCAATGCAATTTTTTTTAAGATAAATTTTAAAAAAAGGTTTCTAGATTTTTTTTAAAAATTTTTTTAGTAAGTTAAAAGATTAATTTAAAAAGTCAAAAATCTAATTTTTCGGTTATTAGTTTTGTGTTTTTATGATATTTTATTTCTTTCATTCAATATTATAAATTTCGCTTATTGCATTTATATATACAATATTCTATTAAACGAAGAGTCGAAGATATGGAAACGTAATTTCATTTGAAATTTTCAAAACAGGAAAAAAAAACCATACTTTTATTTGATGAAATACGGTAAATTAATTTACGTTATATAAGTATTGGTGAAAATTATATTTTAAATTTGACTGAAGTACGCAAAAAGTCTTACACTTTAAAGACTTAAACTTTTCAGCTACTTTTCAGGTTATTGGCCATATCTTAATCTAGGTCTAATCTTTCATGTCTAATCTTTGTCCAGGAATTTAATTGACAGTTGAAGTCACAAGAACCGAATGTGTCTATTTTGCACAAAATTAAATGTTATTAAAGTGGATAAGTGGAACAAGGATAATTACTTACACTCATAACCTCTAATTTATAATATTTTGAATGCTACTGTATGAGTTCTTAACCACCTGTGAGGTCCAAATTAAGAAAACAAATTAGTCCTACATATGAATAATTTAACTAACTGAAATAGAGTTACAAAAACAGACCTATTACAGTTTCGTGTCACTAACAAAGAACGTATTTCAGTAACGAAACACAGAATTTCGTTTTCACAAACATACAAAATTATAGTATGCTTGTTTATGTGGTACTATTTTTACTCTTTAGCGGTTGCAATATTGGTAAAGAAACATATTTTTTTAAAAATAAAAGAACTTTTTCCAAAATGTTTCGAACTTGGTTTATTTTAAAAAATATTTATACATAAAAAAAAGATTGAAAGAAGAGTGAAGAGATACGTGACTTTATTAATATCTTTCAGTTTCTACGTGTCATTGATTTGCTCTCTGTTGTTTTCAACACATATCGAAAACTCAAATAATATAAATACTCATAAAAATTATATTTCAAGCTAAATGAAAACTCAAATAATATAAATACTCATAAAAATTATATTTCAAGTTAAATGAAAACTCAAATAAGATAAAAAAAATTCAAATAACATAAAAACTCCAATATGATAAAAACTCAAAAAGTACGAAATCACAAATAAGATAAAAACTTAAATAGTATAAGAATTCAAATAATATAAAAACTCATATAGAATAAAAACTCAAACAGCATAAAAAACTCGAATAAGATAAACACGCAAATATTTTAGTTCATTTAATTCATTTCATGTTAATCTCATTTACTTAGCGAATGAAAACTATACTTATTACATTTTACTTTTGTTTTCTAGGTAGCAATTCTGACAGTTTAAGTCTTCCCAGTAATGCTGACAAATTAGTGTATTCAATGTACAATGTCATTACCCCACCACATGCAGTTGGAATTTGCCTCAAACCAGGTTGCGTAAAAGCAGGTAAGCTTATTTCTTAGGCTTTAGTGCCTGACGCTATTATCATTCGATCTTTTTCAGCTTTTTTGCTTGATGGTAAAAAGCTGAAGATTCTTGATGAAAAATAAGCAATACACCCATTCTTAAACTATTAACCCTTTGACGCAGAATTTTTATTAAGCATATTTTTCATACGTTTTTCATTATTTGTTTTAATTTAAGTCAAACTAAGGGGGGAATGTTCATCATTTTAACAACTTAAGGTTATGAAATACGGCATGGATCACTGACTGCAAAAGGTGAAATTTTTCAAACACCGCTCACTATCAAATAATTATTTTTCATATTTGCAGGTATATTTAGATCTAAGAGAAACAAGTGTTTATTATTGAAATTTCTCTAATTTAAAAAATCAATTATTCATAAATGTTTGAATATGAATAAAAAGAAAATCTTAAACCACATTTTTAGGATTTTACATTTTAGTACAAATATATTTGCGATAATCAAACAGATTTCTTAGTAACTATTAGACTGTTTTTTTTTTTTAAAAAAATGTGTATATACATATAATTGACACCTGTGTCACATTTGCGTTGAAGGTTTAATGGATAACTGTATGGTAAGATAGTATTTTATCGTTTGTCTCCAATTTAAAAAAAAATTAAGAAAAATCAGATCAAAATTCAATGGTTCAATGGAGATCAAAATTGTATGGTTTGCTACGTTCTGCTTAACCAATTATTGAAATTATTAATAATCAATCTGGAAAACAATTATTCATCTTTACTGAATCTCAGTACTAGTTATTAAGATATTTAACAAAAGACATTGATGACTAAAAAACTATAAAAACTGCTCCCTTGTATTTTAGCTCATTTAAAAGGAAATAATTTCAGAGGCGTCTGTTTAAGCTGTTTTTCGAGGGCTCTGTAGTCACATGAAGTAAAATTTTTTTTTAAAAAATAGAACGCTATTTTGTGCGCTTGGAAGAATTAATCTTTGCTGTTAGATCAGGTTTAGCCTATCTTAACCAGAACCCTGCATGCTAATTCTATAAGCAGCGCAAAACGTCAATATGTGGAAAAGCCACAATTTATGAAACTGAAAAGCGTTTGTGATCTAATTTTTCAAGTTTTAACTATTTTTTCCAAAGATGTATAATCTAATCTCTTAAATATTGCCCAAAACTGATCATTATTTATTGATTTTGGTAATTTTTATAAGTATAAAAATCACACTAAATTGGTGATTTTTAAAAAAATTTTTTTTTGATAACACTCGAAATATTTAAGTTATTTGTCCGTTCTAAGGCTTAGATAGTTCTTTTCTTTACTGCAAGGTGGTACATATTTTATAAAATTATAGCCTTTCCTCGAGTGTAAGGCAATTAAACGGTGTCATTTTTGTGCTTTCTAGGGTGAAAGAGCTTCAATAAACCTTGTTAAATTTTTTCTCTTGACTGTTATGACAAATGATAATTAATTTGAGAGCATAAAAAAACATTGCAATACTAAAATGTATTACACTTTGCTGTTTTTTGTTATTATTATTTCTGAGCAAAGTATGATTATCAGCAGAGAAAATGTTGTATAAAAAGGAAAAAACATAAACTGCTATTTACAGTGATTTCTTATTTCTCATTTACTTTGCAAATACTTATAAATACTTTAATTTATCGTGTACAAGTTGAATTGAATTCGAGTGAAACTCAACTTATACTTTATGATGCAGTTTAAAATTGTATGTTTATTCCATATTACAAGCAATGCTGTTGATTTAGAATCAATCTTATAAATGATATTCTTATAAGTAGCATTATTTATTTATTTTCATTTATTGAACCACGGAATATTGAGGCCGTGTTCAGGTTAAAACTTCGTGGTTGAATCTTCACTGTAGAAAATTTCACCGCCAAAATCTGCCGATCAATAATTTTGCGTGAGTAAAACTTCGCTGACCCTTAACTTCGCTAACCTAGAACTTACAGGCAGGGTTGTATACAAAGTTTCATATTTTACTATTTTAATTTTAATATTAATTTACATGCAAAGGAAAACTCATAAGCAAATTATTTAAATTATAAAATATCTTGTAATTAAATTTTCAAATTTAAAATTTTTGCATTTGTTAAAATTAAATTAATTATGAACTTAAAGCATTAAAACATTAAATTTTCGAAATTAACTTTTCCAAATTATCATTTCTATTCAGTTTTTTAGATAAAAATAATAAAATATAAAAAAAATATTTAATTTAATCTTTTTACTTTTATTAGAATTATATTATTTATGAAAGCTTTTTTTATTGAAATTTATACATAAATTAACTATTAATTAATCTGAGGTTTTGTCCACGCAAACTTTTTTCCGCCAAGTTCAGTGTGACGAAGCTTCGACCGCGAAGTTTTAACCCATTACCCCTACTAATACATTATAAAATAATCTTTTGAAGGATCTTTCGCTATAATAAAAAATTGAATGAATAGTCTGTTATTTTAATATCTGTTGCGAGTTCATTACATTTATTTGTAACTGATGGATTAATTTTCACCTATCAGTATCTACTCATCAGTATCAGTTGGTGCTTTCTCTATTCTGATGGTGAGAATGGTGCAAAAATGAGTTTAAAAAAAGGCTATAGTTTCTTAAAAATGAAAAGTATTTGAAATGGAATTTTTTAACATATTTAAAAAAAAAACTACGAGGCTGCGTAGTTTGCATTTAGAAAGAAAAAATCAAAATTGTTCGTTGGTTTCAGTGTTCTCATCTAGATATTACATGAATGTACAATCTAGAATCTGTGAACTAAAGGGGCCCATAAAGATATTTTTCTTGGTTCATTCATTGTTTGAACGCCAATAAAAATGTATGAAAAAAAAGTATCACAAAATGTTTTTCAACTTTTCTTCGTAGCAGTAAGTAAAAATTCAAAATAAAAAATAGATAAGTAAAACAATTATAATTTCAAAATTCTATTCGCAACTGTAATTGTTACAGTACTAGCAGCTTTAGTGACAAATACATAGTTAGTAAATTCTGTAAAAACTTAATAATGCATAAGGTAACTTTTAGTATTAATAAAATTTTACTTTCTTTCGAGAGCCTAAACATTTTGATCTGGAATCCTGAAACTGGAACGGTTTCGATTTATTTGCAGTAAATATTTTTATTTTAATTTTTGCGATCTGCAAAGTAAAAAAAAAAGTTTTTTGAATTTTACTTTAAAAAGAAAAATAAATGCAACCGGCATTTTTGCAATTATGATTTAGGTTATAATGAATCCCATGATCACATTTTCTGGTTTTTGTGGCCCACTATCCAGGAATTACAGAGCAACCCTGGATAATAGAATTCTAGCCTAATTGGCGCCTTTTTAAAAGTTTTAAAACAAATTATATATTTAATCTGTTTGTTTATTTTAAAGTCAAGCTCATTCCAGAAAAATAGTTTTCTAAGCTTTGCATCGACATAAAGCACTCAAACTTCATCCTTTTTATATTTTTCTTGTCGAAAAGTTTTTGAAGAACACTCTTAAATTTAGAAATTACAGTTTATAATCATATCTGAAAGTTTATTAGCAACATAAGGATGGCGGAAAATTATTCCATCATAATACTTCGCATAAATGAGGAAGGAAATTAACTTCTTTAGTTTCTTAAAACTTACTTAAAACTACGTTGTCTCGTTTGTTAAAGCTAATTAATTGAAGCACATCATTATTACATGCATCTACGTTACTTCATTCATTAGAGTGATAAAATGACAAAAATAGTTTTTCACAAACTTAGCCTATGATGGCGATTTGACATGTTCGGTAATCAAACTGTTAAGCAAATGAGCCCATAATAAAAGTTAATTAATGCTTATGATGCATTAGAGTTTCAGTTTTTGTAATTACCTCATCCATTATCATAATTGCGATGCATTACATAACATAATAACATCCAGTATAAATTGTTAATATGCTGAGAAAACATGTAAGTTCTATGTTTGCAGTTTAAATTAAAAAAAGAAACGTACTTCTTTTTTTGCACATGTCTATGAACGTTGAAAAGATTGGTTACTTTTTTCTTAAGATTCGATGATAATTTCTATTTATACTATAATTTGCTTACACTGTAGAAAACTCCTTTTCAAATTACGGAAAGAAGAACTGGCACGCATGGCGCCAGTATTTTTCTCCGTGAAATACATTTTTACTGTAAAATGTTGCAGAACAAAAATCGAAATGCCTTATTTTTTACAGTAATATTTACTATAAAGTCCCTTTATTGTAATTAAATATATATTACTGTAAAATTACAGTAATATTTACTGTAAAATGGCTGAATCTTTGTAATTAAATAAATATTAATGTAAACATTTTAAGTCGATTGTCTATTATTCCATTTAATCTTAGTAAATCATCAAATGGATTAATCCTTCAATCTTCCTCATCAGTCAAGACTTTCTTACTCCCAGTTATCTTCTTAAATAATAGTCCTTTTAGCGGGTAATTTTATTTTCAAACTGTTGGTTTTACTAAATAAAATATTTTAGTTGACCATCTCCCAAATGTAAATGTAGTTGCTCATGGCTCACATGGTGAAGATCCCTACTTTAATGGAAACCTTTTGCATTATCTGAGCAAAACAATTGCAGCTTTGTCGAATTTTTACACCTGGAAATGTCGGATTTTTACACTTAAACTTTTTATACACAAACTGGTCAAGAGAAAATCTTACAAATCTTGTAAAGAAATCCAAATCCGGCATAAAAAAAGGGTACGTTTATTCATATAAAATACATTTTTGTGTCTAGTTTCGTAACTTAAAATATAGTTTGAACTAATTATTAAACACATTTAAGGTGAGAGCCTCCAACCATTAAAATTAAGCCTTGATACTTGAAAATCAGACCATTAGATCAAAAGTTATTCAGGTTTGTTTGTTTTTTCTTGCACAGTGTGCGCCAGCATTCTAAATCAATTCATAAGGCAGCGTGCATGTTTAAAGCATAAGAAAGGGGGAGGATCCAGAAGGAAAAAAGAGCTGCTACTTACCTAAATAAGTTATTTTTTGAAAAAAATGTGAAAATTCCTTGAGACTACTACTTTTTTTTTCTCTTTTCCTAGCTGCGACAATTCTAAACAATATTAATGAAGAAGTTGAGCCCTGTGACAATTTTTACGAGTTTGCTTGCGGAGGTTGGTTGAATAAGCAAATAATTCCTGACGACAAAACAGCAGTCAACGTATTCAGTCTTTTACAAGATGATTTGGATCTCAAATTAAGGGGTAAGTTCTCGATACAAAAAATACGTTGTACAAACATACAATTGCATGTCATAAAATTAAACTAAAAATTATTTTAATTAAATTATTTTAATTGAATTATTTTAATTGAATTATTTTAATAGAAATTTTAGTACGTAAAATTTAAATAAACGCTTCTTCAAAAGGAAAGAAGAATTTTATTTTTAAATGAAGATTTTATTAAAAAAAAGTATCAAAGTGAATAATATAAAAAATGCTTATATTGACCAGAAGAAGCAAAAAAAGTGTTGAATTCTGGGTTTTCGAAATGTTTAGCACATTTCATTGTTACTTATTTTTGTCTACGATTAAGTAATCGTACTTCAGATACCTTTTACAATTTTATGGTTATTTCTTATATCATAAGTAAAATCCCAGTTTGATATTTTTGCTTCTATTAATTGCTATTCTTCAATGCAATTTACATTTTAGTGTGGAACAAGAATTTGTTCCGATAACTTTAAAAACTGTTATTTGATTCAAAAGTTTTATTAAAATTAAGCAAAAAAAAATTAAATTTCGGACAATGAACATAATAATATTAACACAACATTTTATAAAAAATAAACAGCAGTAAACATAAAATATGAGAAACACATTAAATTATAAATTATAGAGTGCTCATTTAAAAAAAAAAAATCTTGCTTGAAATATATTGTGACTAGGAAGATAGGAAACTTTGAAAAATAAGTTGCAGTTTCACTCCCAGCTCAACGTTCGTAAATATTATTCGTTCATATCTGAATCCAAGTTTATGACTAGAGTCTAGAAACTCTTACAACTCTATGAATTTAGTTCAAAAACTACTTTTGAAAATGCTTGATCTTGGTTAAAATTAGAAATGGGAAAAAAGTTGCAGTTTAATTCCTTCAACGTGAGTATCAGTCTGTCAAATAGCTTAAAAATCGTTCGCCCAATCTGTAATAGTGCAAAAAGTTCCTTTGAAGTTTAATAACATATAGTTTGCTGCAAGTTATTAGTTTTCAAAAGTTTATTTTTTATTAAACTTTAAAGTTTAAAAAGCAGGTGTGGAATATTTTAGATTATCAGTTTGAAATTATTTCAATCAATCAATACTTTTATTGATTCAGGGTGATTCAATACAGTGGTTACAAACTTAAATGAAGCTGTTTTGGGGAAAAACATGAAACATTAGAATTATTACATTATCTCAGCTTAGGCATTCTATAGAGTGGCTAATTCTCTTGGTGCAAAGTATGAAATACAAGAGTTATTGTTCACTTTTCCTAGTCGTTGACTATAATACCTGTATAATAATTAAATATGAAGAATGATTATTTAAAGTAATTCTGAAAAATGATTAATGAAATTAATTCATTGGAATGATTAATGAATAACATTTTGAAGAATGATAAATATATTCGGCGCAAAGAATGAAATACAAGAGTTACTGTATACTTTGTCTTAACATCTTATAGATTATCTGTATATTTTTCATTAATCTTTATAAAGTATTATTAATGAATAGCATTCGATAGGCTGACGAATGATTTTCGGGCAAAGTATGAAAAACAAGAATTATTGTTCCTTTGGCCTAGACATTGACCAGAATATCTAAATAGTTAATTCTAAAGAATGATTATTTAAAGTAATTCGATAGAATGATTTATTAAAGTAATTCTATAGAATGAGTAATGAATAGCATTTCATAGAATGATAAATGTATTTTGTTCAAAGTATGAAATACAAGAGTTATTGTATGCTTCGTCTAGTAATCATATAGAATATCGATATATTTTTAATTAATCATTATACAGAGTGATTAATGAATACTATAGATTATCTGCGTATTTTTTATTTATCTTTATGTAGAATTTTTAATGAATAGCAATCTATAGACTGATAAGTGTTTTTCTGACAAAGTATGAAAAAAAGGAATTATTGTTCACTTTACCTAGACCAATGACTAGAATATCTAAATATTTAATTATAAAAAATGATTATTTAAAGTAATTCTATAGAATGATTAATGAATAGCATTTTATAAAAGGATAAATGCATTTAGTTCAAAGTATGAAATACAAGAGTTATTGTAGACTTTGTCTGGGAATCATATAGAATATCGATATATTTTTAATTAATCATTGTACAGAATGATTGATGAATAGCATTTTATAGACTGAAAAATGCTCTTTGGGCAAAGTAAGAAATAAAAGAATTATTGTTAACGTTGCTTTGTCAATGTATAGAATATTTGTAGATTTTTTATTAAGCATCAAAAAGAAGGATTAATGAATAGCATTCTATAGAATCCCTGATTTTATACATTGTCAGTAACACATAGACTAGATTCTTTTACTCATGTTTCATTTACTAATGTAGAAAATTGTATTCATTTCATATTTATGCATCTTGAAAAATATTTGAGATACATACATTTGTATCCAGCATAAGCTCACTACCAAATATTTCGAACTTGTGAAATTTCTTCTTTTTAATGGAATTCAGAGCCATCATGACTGCATGTTGAGAGAGCTGATTGTGCATAATTTATATAGCCCCATCTCATGAAACTTCCATCTAGTACCTGTGAAAAATTTATCTGGTTCCAGTAAAACACACTATACCTTTTGGGTATCAAGATTCAATTAAAACTTTCATAGGTAAACGAGGTTTGCACGCTTAGTCAAACGCAGTATAGGAATCACTAAATGTTTTTTAATGAAAATGTTGGAGTAATGTAACAAACGTTTAAATTTTTCAAGAGATTCCAATGATCGATTCCGCGATTTTCATATAGAAATGCATGTTTCAAAGCATTGTGTTACGACTTTGTGGAAATTCTAAAAACTTGTACCCATCTCAACTCAATACTAAGAGACTGCTTGATATAAAATTATCACCTTCGGAGATAGTGAGGCTTATCACTATATTACAGTAATTCTTTCAATTTGTAGTAATTCTTACATTTTCATTATTTGTAATTATATTTTTAAAATGTGTATTCAATCATTAGAAATAAATTGTCTTAACGTAAAAATACGATTTCATTTTTTTCTAGCTATGGTTGAAGGAAGTATAAAAGAATCAGAATCTCAATACATTTTAAACTTGAAAAAAATGTATGATTCTTGTATGAACACTAGTAAGTATGTTTTTTTCTATAGACTTACTTCAAAAACAAATACCGTACAATTGTAGTAAATATATAATTACTATTCTGTATATATAATTTTCAGTATTTATTTAAATAATTACAGAAGATCTTATGATATTGAGTGATGTAAAATTCGATTCTTAACTAAGTAAATGAAACCGAACATTCTCTACCAGTTGGTTTGATTTTTAAGAAATTTTTTTAATTGGATGCACGCTCAGTGACGTCATCGTTGTTAAATTTTGGCATTCATAGACTCAAAAGCCGATAAGGTTTGACACACATGCGTAACGTCGCTTACAGGCATCCAATCAAATCTCATTTAAATCACATGGTTAGGTATAATCACGTAACTCTTCTGGAGTTGCTAGTACCCAATTCGGGAGAATTCAAACGAGTTTCAATTAGTTTCAATGTTTAGAACAGAATATTGTACCTTCGAGCTCTTTTTACATCTAGTTTTTACTTTTAATTATAATCAGATTTTTAATCTGACGACAACTTTTAAATATCCAACGTTTTTATTTATAAAATATTGTTTCCATCACAAACAATTTGACTATAAAAATTTGTCTGTCATTTAAAATAAAAGTTGCAAATTGTTCCAAAATACGCTTTGCTGTGTTATATTGTTATACAGCATTACATTAAAATATACTTATAGAATATGACATTTATTTAATAGATTACGATATAGTAAAACCTTTTAAAACAAAAGATATCTTATGCATTTAAAATTATACACATCTAGTTCCTTAGTACATATTCCCTGGTACAACATACGAATAATTTTTAAAATTCTTGATTTTTAACAGAATGCACTTTCTTACATATTGCCCCGAAGTACAATCATCATGTAGTTTAAATATATCGGCGTTGTAAAATTGTGGTAAATTCAAATGACCTATACCATTATTTTTTATAACTTAAACATTTAAAAATAAATTTCCTTTCTATAAGCTAATAAAGTTTCGCTGAATAATTTTATAAATTACTACTTCGAAAATTAAAATAGAATTAAAAAAATTTACTTATGAGTAATAATTACTTTTCGGGCCTCGGCATTAAATCAATAGTTGGGGAGTTAACTTTTGTTGTGATGTCAAGTATCGATTAAAGTCACGCTTAGAATAAAATTCATTCTACTGTTATATTGAGCTCTTGAAAATTACCAACATCCTAAAGTACAGCACTCTTTCTTATTCTTTTGTTTATGAAATTTACTTTAAAAATTGAAAAAAAAAATAAAAGTGATAATTCCTGAAGTGCATTATTTTCGAAGAGTGTTTTTTCTCTCACCCAACAACAATAAGATTTAAAATATATTTTTAATATTTTTCCCAATCAAAGAATTAATTTAAAGTTTTTTAGATGCTTAAACTTAAATAATAACAAGCTATATTTAACGCAAAATATTACGCCCGAACAGGGACTCGAACCCTGGACCGTTAGGTTAAAAGCCTAACGCTCTACCGACTGAGCTATCCGGGCTCGATGGACACTTTAAAATAACATTTCATAAAGGATACAAATCTTAGATAATTACGCAGGCATTTACACAGCTGTCACGGAAATTGTAAACATTAGATAAAACATCGATTTCGACCAAAAGATAAGTCTTCGTTACGCGTGCAGGGTTATGTTTACTTATTGTAATTTTTTTTATAGTATTTGAGTTAATCTTAAAATAAATCTTCTGTTTTATTTTTCTTAATTTACGGTAACAACTGTTCAAATTTATTGAAATTACATGAAATTTTGGAATGTTTTTTCGAATAAAAAATAAAATATTGTGCTACTCGTTAAAAAATTCGTAAATTTTTTACTTTAAAAAAAAAAAAATTTTTTTTAAGCGTAACTATACTATTTTTGCATTAATTTGTGCAGATTAATTTCAAAATTTTTATAAAAAATAGTTTTTGCTCTATTCGCAGTTGAAATGAACCTTTTCTTTTCATTACCTTACTATAAATTAAACCATTATTTAAACAATCATTCAGAACAAGTCAGAACGATTTTGATGTAGCTTATAATTTGAAGGAAAAAAAAGAAAGAAAAAACGCTTTTCTTTCAATTTTGTACACTGTATTTTCCAACATTCAACTCTAAAAAAATCAGTTACTTCCCTCGAAAAAAAAAGAAAAGAAAAAGAACTTCAAAACGGAAATAGTAACTGGAGGAAAGTTAAAAATTGTTTTAAAAGTTAGATTTTCGACCCCATACAAATATTTGAAGATTGTTCTCTCCTTTTTACCGTTGCTTTAAATTTACAGAGAGGGAGAAACTTAAATATTACTATCTAAACATGTAAAGTTGTAATTTTTCGCACTGAATCGAAAGAAATTTAAAACAAATGCACGCTGTTAATAATTTAGTTTTTATGAACGTTTTAATGCACACAATGTATGAAAATAACACTTTTTACGTATACCTACAAACACGCTTGAAATTGCTATATCTAAAAAAATGAAGTATTGTTTCCGTATTTTGTTCTTCTAAATCAGGGGTTTCCAACTTACATGAGGCCGGGAGCTGCAATTAAAAACACCAGTCAAATGCCGGGCCGCAACTTTATCAAAATTTTATATAGGACTTTTTTGTGTTTGACGGAACATTAAATATTACTGTCAGATTTTTATCAAACTGTACAAAACAAACGTATTGAATTACNCACCAGTCAAATGCCGGGCCGCAACTTTATCGAAATTTTATCTAGGACTCTTTTGTGTTTGAAGGAACATTAAATATTACTGTCAGATTTTTATCAAATTATACAAAACAAGCGTATTGAATTACAAATTAAAATTAGAAGTAGATTTTTAAGCAACATACACGATTATTTTTGTATTTGAATAAATATTTTCTTGGATGCAAAACCTGAGAAATAAATTTTTTTACGCCGTTGGTATTTTAAATTTCACAGAAATGAAGAAATTAGGTTTTTTTTTAAAAGAAAGAAAAATATTTTGAACCCATATAGATTTTTTACGAAAATTGTCTGCAAAAAATGACAACTAATATATTTTAGTTCTCGGGCCACAAAAAAAAGGCTTCGCAGACCGCCAGTTGGTAACCACTGTTCTAAATCGAATGAACTTCCCCTTTGAATGAAATTCATCCTTTATACCTATCCTCACCAGTAATTTCTATTTGACTACTAAAAACTTCCTCGGAAGTGAGAATAAACTTCAGCCATCCATATTAAGCGAAAGCTATAACTTTTAAAACAATTTATAGATTTATTCATATTTAATTCCCTATTTAACTTCTTAAGAACTGATCGCAAAAGAACCATTGATTCTCCAAAAATGTCCCGATTTTTTAGCTCATATAAGCTGTATAATTTAAATACAATTTGTGTATATATAAGTGTAAGTATGTGAAAACCCGTCCATAGTGAACCTTTAAGGGACCGAAACTTTGGTTCATTATTACCGGGACTTCACTATAATCGTTCTGCAAACAATTTTAGCTAATAGTTCCAAACTCCCCTCCCCTTTTATTACATACTATATAAATAAATAACCAATGAAATGAAAAACAAAAATGACTGAAAAATAATACGTAGTAACAAAAATGTGTTAACTTTTATTTTTTATTACTCTTCGTCTTGCATACAAAAAAAAATTAGTAATCCTTAGCTGATGAACAATCTTCAAATATGGAAACACTTCCCGACTCTCCGATAATTTTTCTCGATATTATGTTATTCCGCTTTTTTTAAACATCTCTAACAAGCCATTGGAGTGCATAAAAGTAGTCTTACCATATTGCTTAGCAAATTCATCGGCTTTGACTTGAAGCATTTGCCCAGATACTTGAAGATAGCGGATTCCTTGAATGCTGAACCAATTCAGTAACTTTTTCAATAATAAGCAAACAAGGAAAAAAATCCTTATTGATACATTCCATGCTATAGATGGTTTTAAAAATCAGTATATGCATTTATTTCGCAGTAGAAATTTTAAAATAATTGCAAAAAAATTAAGAAAATAAATCAGTCGAAAAACAGGAAAAAGTTCATAATGTCCAACTTCCTCTTTTTTCTTGGTTCACTATATCCACAATAAATAACATTATACGTGTAACAAGGCACGAGAGCGAACATTTCGTTCACTATATCCGGGAGTTTGCTATAAACCGTGTTCACTATTGCGGGGTTTAACTCTCTGTACTTTTTCCATATTCTTCGTTGCCATCTTTTCCCTGCAATCAACAACTTCAAATGGAGCTACATGGAGAAATAATAAAACTGAAAATATAAATTAATGTGTACTCAGTTGCTTTACGCATTTAATTTTTTTTTATTTGTAAGTTTTTTTAACCCCTTAACGATCGATTAATTTTCAAGATAACGGTCATAAAAGTGCCTATTTTTTTGGCTTTTGTATTTGTATAACGCATTTGATTATTGCTGACATCTAGTTTAAAATAAACTAACTATATGCAATTACCTTAAAAATATCCTGGTACTACCATCTGGTGTGTAAAATGAGAAATAAAATATTTCCCGGGCAAAAGAAATGAATTAGCTTTATTCTTATTGGCACGTTACTACTGAACACTCCAGCCAGCCAGTATCACGGGAGTGAGAAATAGAGGGCGAAACCTCAGCCCGTCATTTTCATGGGAGCGAGAAGGAAAAGTATTAAGTTAGTTTAAAACAATACAGCAGTATTGTAAACAGTAATTTGAAGCTTTGTAAAATTTATTCGTACATCCAGATTGCTTAAAAAGCTAGTTATTGTTGGTTTTAATAACTATTTGGATACTGAAAGCAATCCATTTATTTTATTTTTAAGCCCAAATTGAGATGTCGGGCAATGGACCTTTAGAAAAAATAGTTAAAGATATTGGAGGATGGCCTGCTGTGGACGGTGACAAATGGGATGAAGAGAATTTCAGTTGGATGGATACTTTATTCAGCCTCAGAAAAATTGGATTTGGTCATAATATTTTGTTGTCCGTTTCGATTGGACCGGACATCAGAAATAATACACGCCACATAATAGATGTAAATATGTTTTGTTTTTTATTTCTATTTATGAGATCCTAATTCATAAATATCTGCTTACAAATTACTATGGGTTTTGTCTGATTAAAGATGTAAAAATAATGCAAAATAAGCTCTGATAAGTATTATAAGAAACAGTTTAATAAAATACTCTAGGTTTAAATTTTGCAAGCTATGCAATCCGATTTAACTACTAGAAACCTTCAACAAAAATGGAATGTTTCAGTTTTAATAATTCATTTTGAGACAAAATTAGGTAAAAATACAAAATATTTTAATTAAATATTTTACGTTCAAATTTTGAAAAATATTTTGAAACATCTTCATCTAGTAGAAATTGTAATCAAAATAGAATGTGTCAGGTTTTATAATTCATATTACGACAAGTCAATAATATCAAGATGTTATCGAAATCAAAGTTATTACGGTATTAGCATATCATTTTAATCTCAAAAGAATTAAATACAATATAGTTTTAATTGAATTATCTTCAATTAATGGCGAGCAGTCGCTTATTGGTATAAACATCCACCGAATAAATAATTATTCAATCCCAGAGAAATCATGAAAAACGTAACTTAATACCGTGTCTGCCTCTGAATTTAAGCGGATGCTATACCACAAGTGAAACTTTCCATGGCAAACTCTGTTTCACCTCCATTGGTATTTAAAAATTGGAAGTTTAGAGAAGATTGAGTTCAGGTAAACTTAGTGTAAATCTTAAAGTTTTGGAAGCTGAAAAAATGACTTAAAAATATCAAAATGCAAACAAATTTTTACGTGATTACTTTTTCATTGCGTAAACCAGACTTATCTTGCCATAATTTGTTTGTATTTTGATATATTTTTTTTCAGCATTCGAAATTCATGGTTTACACTAGATTTACCTGAACTGACTTTTCTCTGAATTTATTTATGCAGTCGAAGGAGGATTTGCCATGAAGAGTTTCTCCCCGGGTATAACACCCTCTTCATAACCACCTGACTTAGTTTTTACACACAATTATGCAAGGCGGGAGTGCTTATTCCTGGATTTCCACTTTTCTAACAAGACTCACATCTTTGGTACGGGGTTTAAATCAGGTGGTTGTGCAGGCCATTCAGGATGTAAGATGCGTTTTTTCAAAAAATCTCTGATATATTTCCTACTCCGATGAGTTTTAAAGTTGTCTTTTTTTAAAAGATAGGGATATCAGCAGTGCACTCACTAATAGTGAAGATGTTTACTCAAAAGAAACAGAATGTTTCAAAATAATTAATTAAGATTGTGGTAGCTCAGGAGATTGAGCGCTCGAATGAGCGCTCGCCTGAGTTCGAATCGCAGCAATAGTTGGTCCATACGAATTCTACACTCAGCTAACACTGACTGCAGTGCTGATGTAAAATATCCTCAGTAGTAGACGGATCATGGGTTAGACTTCCTTGCCATCAGGCTAACCGTAGCTTTTCGTCTCCATGTTACGCTAATGTGGGTTAGTTCAATCAAAAAGACCTCCACAAAGGCAAATTGGATACGGAGTCGAACATTGTTAGTCGTAAACTCAAAATTGAATCTGCTGTTCAACGACGGTTATAAAAAAATTATTATTCACAATGTTAAAATAGACAGGATGGTTCGGGTTAGTTGTCCCCTCAGCAGCGAGAGGACTTAATTAATCCATAACAAAAAGTTACTCCCAAAATTTCACAGAAATTGTTAAATAATGTTTCATGATTTCTCTAAGTGTGGATGATTTTTAATCCAGTGAGCTTATTTATTAGTATTAATCAATTTTGGTTTTCTTGCTACCTTTTTTATATTTCAAAACGCGAATAATATTATTAGGATGAGTAGTTTTTAACTGATCAAAGTCTAAATGCTTTTTTTTTAAATTTAAATTCTTGGATATTATGTAGTTGGATCAATCTAGTCTTGGAATGCCTGATCGCAACTACTTGCTAAAAGGGATGGAGGATCCTCTGGTATCAGCCTACTATCATCTGATGGTAGACAGTGCAGTACTACTTGGTGCAAACAAATCAAGGGCAGAAATAGAAATGAAGGAGGCGCTGAACTTTGAGATATCTCTCGCTAATGTAAGTGGTAATTTATTTTAGTTATTATACGTTCCATTAAAAAGTATTTTCGAAAAATGTTATACCAGAAAAAATATAATTATTGTTGCAATTACATTTTAAAACTCTCCGAGGTAAAGAGAGTAAAATAAAATTTAGTGCAACAAGCGAATATATTTTTATCTGAAGATCTAATTTTCACGTACTAAAATAGAGGGACTGGCTTTAACCCTTTGAAACAGAGATTTTGGAAACATATTTTTCACACTTTTTTTTCATTATTTTGTATTAAATTAGGTCAAAATAAGTGAAAAATATCATATTTATCACTTTAATTATTTATGGTTATCAAATACAACATGAAAAACCGGTGTCTTTTTCTGCGTTGAAGGTAAATCTGATCATTAAAGCTGTTTCACGAATGCTCGGTCATCATATGAAATACTTGTTTGCGAATACTATGTATACTGCTGTGAGTTTGTGACAGTTGCTGATGATGCTTAAGTCAAGTTTAGCCTATCTAAAGCCAGAACTGCATATGTTTATTCTGAAAATAGCGCAAAACATTAATATGGAGAAAAGCCATAATTTTGTGAAATTGAAAAGCGTTTGTGGCCTAATTTCTTAATATTTAAAGACTGCCTCCGATGCAACATGATATTGGCTCATAAAAATGTTCAAAAACTAAGAATAAGACAGTAATTTTGATAATATTCAACTTAGTGGAAAAAAGCCGCCAAATTAATGATTTTTAAAAAAATTTATTAACTTTTAAAATATTTAATTTATTTGTTCGTTCCAAAGTTCAGATAATTCTTCACGGCAAGATTATATATATATAGTTTAAAATCATCGCTTTGTTTCAAGTGTAAGGCATTTAAACTGTAGCTTTTTAATTTTCTTTGGCGACAGAGATTCGAAAAGCCATGTATCAAAAACCATTCACTCGTCGCCAACTGATCGTTCATAAACAAAATGGCGCGTTAAAGTCAAACTAAATCTCTCCACATGAGTTATAATGTTAATTAATGTGAAGTTAATTAAATACAAAGCCATAACGCATATCGAATTTGTTAAAATATAATTCTTTCTCTTCTACATCTTTTACTTAACTTAGATTTATTATTTATTTATGCATTTTATTGTGACCTTGCTTTATTTTTGTTTTGCGTGCCTGGCACAATTTCGATGCATAATTAGTTTGTTTGCGTTCGACATGGATTCGTGCTTGTCTTTGTGTTAAGTAGAAAATATCTAGTGAAAGAACTGAAATCTTAGTGAAAGAATAAAAAATGTGTCGCTTAAGAGAATTGATACTTGACGGACTTGGCTTACTTGAAATAGAATGGAAAGAACATTTACTAACGTAAGAAAATGTCACGCTTCAACAGCCATTCAGAATCGAGATATCACGCTACGTCACTTGCTGGAATCCCATTGCAATCAGATTTAATATGGAATAATATCTAAAATAAATACGACAGTTATTTCGACACTAAAGTTATCTAGTTCTTAAGATAAGATTAAAAACACACTCTTAATATTACCCATACAACGTCATTTTTAGTTCAGAAAATTTATTATTGTTCCAAAAGCATTAGCTTTAGAATATGATTAAAACAAAATCTACATTTCAAAATCATATAAATATTTGTCCTTTTTTAAAAATTATGCATCAACAAAAAATTGCAAAATAATAATAAGTACTCGTAATTTAAAGTTGAATATATTATTACAAATGTAGTTAAAAAATTAGATGTTTAAACAAGCATAAAATTTCAATATTTCAGATTATTGATATTTACTACAACAGAAAGTTCCATCATTTCTTCTTCTCCGTTCTTCTTGGTTATTGTATCTAATCTATCCTGCTGCATTGAAACATGTTGCTTCCTGAATTGATTGTTTTAAAATTTTAAAGTTACCTTTATAAAATTGAAATTGAAAACAAGCATACTAACATGCTTATCAACACGTGTGGAAATGAAACAAAACCCACAATTGAGTTTACATCTTCATTTACTTATTTTTTTCAGATGAACTGGCTTCGAATTTGCATAATTATCCAATTAAGCATAACAAACTTGAATTTATACCTTCATTTACCAACTAAAGACTACTTACTATTTTTTTCGATAACAACAAAATCTGCTGCTTGAATATATTTCCTGATAGGATAAATAGCAATAAGCTAGCAGTAGCTACCGAACGAGAATTAATCAGGATAGAGATTTGGCGTTTGTTTATGCTTACCTTTTGCATTTAAAACATCGTCCATAAACAACGTAGAAGCATCAAAATTTGGCGGTGAAACTTTCTTAATTTATTTTCCCTTTCAATCTTTTCAGTTAATTCGGAGTACAATGCAATCAAACTTCCAATTAACCTTTCTTTTCTTCCTTTTTAAAGCAGTTTACTTATTTTTTTTCATTTGGTTCTTACTTTTTGCATTGAAAACATCGTCTACAAACAACGTAGAATCATCAAAATCTGGCGATGAAACTTTCTTAATTTATTTCACTTTCAATCTTTTCAGTTAATTCGGAACATAATGCAATCAAACTTCCAATTAACCTTTCATTTCTTCCTTTTCAAAACAGCTTAGTTTGCATATCTTTTTCTGGGTCAATATTAATCATCTCCCACTCAATTAGTAAGGTATCAGAAGGTAAACAGTACAAAGAGATTTCACCTTTAATGTCATAATCAAAGTTGAACAAAAAATCATTGTTTTTCCACTGTGAACTGTGACGAATTATTTTGCCGTTTACATCCAGCAAACGAGCAGTTATCCAAGTATTACTGTCGACTTTTTCCAATTCCTTTGGAACCAGATGAAAATATATGCTTGCAGAGCTGGGACTTTTCCCCATAAGAGCATGCCATTTGATACCGTTTGAAATGCTCAACCGTTTTTTTCCGAAGCAGTAAAAACTAGGTGTTTTTACCGTAAGTGTGGAACTTAGCGTGAATCGTTCTATTTTCCATCTAAATTTGAAAGGTTCAATTAAGTGAGAGGTTTCAAAATAATGCTTTAGGTTATGATTATCAACAGCAGCCATAATGGTTTTTGAACTACTGTTAACAAGACAAACTTTAGAAATAAAGAAAGTTTTTTTACTTTAAAAATTAATTTAAATATTTTCACGACCTACAGCACATTATTTTCTGATAAAATATTTGATGAAAGCAGCTTATCCTTCTTATCTAAACTCCATTGAAAATGAGATATTCTTTTGTTTTATCTAAAATATCTCAAAATGCGTTGTTATAGAACTTCATTAAAGTCATCACTTTGCAAGATAAGTAAAAACAATTGGTTTCGTTTTAGCTTTCCATTTAGCATGTGATAAGAAACTGACAAATGAATTAAAATAAACTGAACTGAATTAAACTAAGATAAGCATAGACTCTGAAAAATTGAGTGCAGAACTGAATGCATTGTATTGAAAATGCAAGTTAAGGCTATAGATATGATGTATTAATCTAAATTAGGGAATAAAAATAAAAAATATTCAAAGTACCATATTTGGATTTTTAAAAAAATTATAGCCAGTATTCTTTGTTACCCGGAAATTAAAAAAAATATTTTTCCCATCTTAATTTTAATATCTTGTGTCATTTTTTATGTTTAGCCTATATCGTTATTTGTACAAGCAAATATTTTTGCAACTACCATTTATTAACTTTTAACTATATGTTCTAAGCTCACGAGACAGAAATAACCCTAAATAAATCACGATAAATATCATCAAGCGCAGATGAACATTCTCAAAACAACACAAAGATGAGCCCGTGTTATTTTGAGAATTTTCAACTCAATGTGGCTTAAATCCGCTCTCTAAAGGCCTGGTTTCTTAGGACAGGACGCCGTCAGTTGGAAATCAGCGCTAACCTCTGATTGGTCCATTTGTAAGTTTGATAGTATACGTCATCGAGTTCAAGATGATCGTTCGATGACGTACACTATCAAACTCACAAATGAACCAATCAGAGGTTAGCGCTGATTTCCAGCTGACGGCGTCCTGTCCTAAGAAACCAGGCCTTAAGGTGACCATTTGCATGAACCAGCATATTTGTTTTGCATTCTGGATGATCCGGTGTAACCTTTCAATCAGCATCTTAATGAGGTTTGCACAGTTGATTTCCTTATTTTTCAAGATGATAGCGGCTTATTTCATCGGGATAGGAGAAAATTTGACAGCTTTACGAACACTCACAAATCCATTTGCATCGCGATTGGCCAGCAGAATCATTTAGACATTTTGTGGGGCATATTGGATGCGTGAGTAAAGCGCCGAAACTCTTAAATTGATGATTTTGCGCAATAAAAAACTCAGCAAATGCTTTAAACTGGATGGGGTATGCCTGCAAGGCTGCGAACACCTTTTCTTACGAAATTCAAGTGGTCATTAATTCTGTGAAGGATTATCTATCTATCTATGTATCTATCTATCTATCTATCTATCTATCTATCTATCTATCTATCTNATATATATATGACTGATATTGATCACATCATACTCATGTGTCCACTGCTGCATCAACAGCGCTCCATACTCAGAAGACAACTTGACATCAAGGCTACGTCTTTCTCATACTGATGGAAACTTCAGACAATCACAGACTACAATCATTTCTGCAATTCCTTAAAGCTATTCATCTTCTCTAAACTGCATTCTATCTCTCACTATGCAATAAGCGAGTTATAAGCAAAATACTGCAAAGAACAAAGAATGCCCGCCAGTCGTCATCATCATCTGTGAAGGAATTGCATGGAATTTAATGATGCTTTTCAAGGGGTGATTCGTTTTTTGTCCGCTTAACGTATTGGTTAAAAGTTGTCCAATTTTGTGGAAAAAATTATCTTCAAGAATGAATGAAAATTAAAAAACCACATTGAAATTATTGTAGTATATTTTTCTCTTGTTTCAGATATCAGTACCCAGAGAAGAGAGAAGAAATATCAGCAGACTTTACAATAAGATGACTGTGAATGATCTCTACACTTTAGCACCAAATGTAAGTTATTTTATAATGAAAATCTTAAAAAAAACTACGAAGTTATAGAAATAGGAAAGATGGGGAAGAATAAAATACGTGGGTTTTAATTATTCAAAAAGTGTTATTAAAAAGTATGTAATTAAAGTTTTTAAGAAAAAAAAACTTAAAATTGTATAGAGTTACTGGTATTGTCCCAATATGCGATCTACCTGTGAAGTTAGTTTACGGATCAATAGATGGCAATACAGATTATATGCAATACAAAATGTATGCAATACAAAATGTATACAGTATATATGCAATACAAAAGTATGATGGAGTATATCAGGCAATGGCATTTAATCTTAATTAACATTATGACAGGGTATGCCTGACAAATGTCTACCAGGTAGTGGCACAGAATCTTAAAAATCATCAGTGTAGGGTATATCGGGGTGCGGTACTTACACTTAAAAAAGAATTATTACTGGGCAGTGATAATTATCCTTAAAAAAAAAACATCAGTGCAGGGTATGGCAGCCAATGACACTTTACCTTAAAAAGCAATAGTGCATGGTATAGAGGGCAGTAGCACTTAACCTTAAAACAACATCAATGAAGGGTATACCGGGCAAATGTATAACGGACAGTGACAATAAAAGGGCAAAATTTTAAAAAAAAGCTCAATGAATAAAAAATACATTTCGATTTCACAGTTAGATCGCATATTAGGATCATATCGAATCCCCCCCCCCCCCTCTCTATTTATATCAATTCGAGAAAATTCAAAAAGGTTAGCAAATAATCGTCTGACTGAAGCCTGCAGATAGTGTTAAAACTATGTCAGTTTCTTTTGTGGAAAAAAATATGTAGTTTTTATAGCTTACTACCAATTATTTTTATTAATATCTTTAAAAAATTAAAAAGGAACTACAAAAAAAAGTCCTTCAAAAGAAAAAATAAGGACAAATTAAGAAAATTCTACGCTTGAACTCATATATCTTAAGAAATTCTGCAATGCTTAGCATCTTTTTAGATTTACACCGACATGAACTAACTTTTTGGTGTGCTGTTGGTTTTACTCCATTGCGCGTCTTAAATATGAGGTAATATTTTTGAAACTGGAATAAGTTCATTCGGAGGAAGAAATTCAGTATTTACTTTGTTATTTTCAGGAATGAATTTAGTTTTCTAGAATTTGGACAAAGAGATAAGTTGAAATATGAAGAAGAAAAAAATGTTTTTCTTCTTTTTTTCGATATTTCATAGCTCGTTCTTGTTACGAGGTAAAAAAAGTAAAGAATCAATAAATCGTTATTGATTAACACTACAAACTCGTACATAAAACTTGAAAACATATACCGTCTCGATTATTAAAAGCAAAAGTAAAGCCTTCCGGTAACCATATGTCATGGGCCAAGATTCATGGAGGTTAAGGCTCCACAATTTCATACTCTACGGCATGATTTCAGCAATGTGGTTAGCAATGCGCCTAAAGCTGCCTTTATTTCAAAGAGCAAGCTGATACCTATCATCAATATTAAGCTGGAGGAGCAATCCACCTCTGGGGATCAAACCCCAGTACTTCACAATGATAGTCTAGTTTCTTAATTGTGGACCAATCCTGGCTAAAGCTAAATTAAATTTAAAATATTTATTTATTTATTATTTGTTGCTCTTATCTTTGATTTTACGTTATTAAATTAATCAAAACATTTATTTAGAAGTTTATCTCCTTGAAGTAAAGATTGATTATACTCAATAACTTTTGGCATACTTGAAGTCAGTTCATGATAGTCGAAAATTTACTCACAGTCAAGCAATTTTCTCTTATACTTATCTTTTTCTGGGAAACGCAAAAATCCTATTACTACAATACCTATAGTTAGTTCCCTTGGTGTTTACTTTAGTAAATTTGGTACCTATTGAAATTTTATCATAATACCAGAAGTCCCTATTACCAAAATTAAGCATTATTGGAATCGTAAAATGATTTTTTGCGGTTTCCCTGAATGTATAATTACTTTTTTTCATTAATTTTTTAATGCACAATTTTTTTTTTCATTTTTAATTATCATTGATTTTAAATTATGCAAAAACGTTCCAACACACAGCTGTAAATAGAATAAACAAGTGTTTACAAACAATTTTAAAAAGACTAATTCTTCAACGCAGCCCTCACGTATGCCATCCAAGACGATTTTGAAACTTTATCTGGCACAGCGAGTAAAAAATAATTAAATATTAAAGAGCGTGGTGTAATCTGCAATTTTATTTAAATAGCATTCCTTATTGACATCATCGTTTAAATATTTTGAAGGAAAAAAATTGAGTTGTTTACAGTTTAAATTATAACAATGTCTACTGCTAACACCAGCGAGAAAAAAATCATTATTCAAAGGTCCATCTCGAACTAACTAATTATGATTTTTTAATAATTAAGATCGGTAGCTGCAATAGCCACTGGCTAAATTTCTCGATGGTTTAATGGAGCTATAAAAGACATTCAAACACAAAGATATGCAGACAAATTCTTCATTGTATTATTATAAATTATTGTATGACTAGAAACATTAGTCTTAAATTATAGCACTTAAATTAAAGTTCTATCTTAATTACATATAAATAGATAAAATGAATTCTGAATGCACGTAATAGTTTTATTCAGTATAATAAAAAATTGCACATTATAAAATTCGACTTATATTTCCTATAACATAATAATTGCATTTTTTTAAAAAATTTTTTAAATTATTCATGTATGCATATTATTTTATTAATTAGGTGGAATGGGAAAAATATTTTAACAAGCTGCTCATGAACCAAATACCAAAAACAGAAGAAGTCATTGTGATTGTTCCAGACTATGTTAAAAATTTAGAAAAATTATTACAGTCAACGGAAAAAAGGTAAGAACGTCTAAACATTGTTTACATTTAAGCTTTATCTATAATTATGAACTTTTAATATCAAGCATTATTAATTTTTCATTATATCCTTAATAATAATATGGGAAGAAGACTAAAAAGGGTTAGAAATACATAAAAAACTAAGGAATAAAACTGATTTTAGAAAACAATGAAACAGAAAAAAAGCTGCGAAAAACTTTGAATGTCTCTTTATCAAAATTAATATAGTAGCACCGTAAAAAAATTCATAACTTTTAAGTGTGATTTATTCTATTATAGTAAAATAATAGAATAATCTTCTTTATAAATATTATATATAATATACCCTCTAAATTCTATATCCATTCTTTAACTTTTGAACCGCTTCAATTATAGTTAAAGACATGATGTCTAGGTGCAGTAAAGTAGCTATGAACGACGTGATAAAATCTCTTACAGCGCCACCTTTTACAAAACTGAGGAATTAGCTTACAAAGCTCGAAATTTACGAGATTGGAAAAAAACGTGAATTTCGAAGTTGTTGACATTATTTATTTAGTTCAACTTCAGCCTTTTTCAATCAATTTAAGATAACGATCATCAAGTTGGCATCTTTTACAGCTCAAGAAGCACGATTTTTAGCGAAAAATTTAAGTGATTAAAGAACAACATTTTTGATAGAAGTTCACCTGTGATCAAACGATTTCTTACAACAAAAAAAATTTTGTAAAATAAAAACTTAACATTATTAAAAGCTTCCGAGATAACGAAGTCATGAATAGCTTGCTTGTTTTCAAGTTTAGTTCAGAATGGAGTAAATTTTGACCATATAAAAAAAAATGGTTTTTGTCAAGAAAAATTACCATATAAAGTTTAAACTAAAGACAAATTTATTGAAAATTATAGAGAAAAATAAAAGAAGAAAATAGACAAATTAACTCAAAACTGATTAACGTATTTTTGTCATAATATCGTAAAAAATAGCACTGAATTTTTTTCAATACTAAATAAGAAAACTGTTACCTATTTTTAAAAAAATTTATGATTTTAAGGTCTTTCTCGTTAAACTTAATATCGGTACCCCTTAGTTTTGCTATCATTATTATAATAACATTATATTTTAATGGTTTCCAGAGTTATCGCCAATTATTTGATGTGGCGTGTTGTTGGCCAAGCTTTTCCAACTCTTCACCGTGCATGGGGTGAAATCACTCAACACTACAGCACAATCTTAACTGGCAAAGTAAGTCAGGAGGCACGATGGGAACACTGCCTTGGCACACTATCTGGCAGTCTGAGTACAGCGTTGGCATCCCTTTATGTGAAGAATCACTTCAAAGACGGGAGTAAAGATTCGGTAATAAAATTCTAAATAAATATTAGTTATTGGTTTATTTATCCAGCCTTCGCCACTTCTCAAACTTAATATATTCCACCCTGATCTCAAGGAGGATAATTAGAGCCTCTAATGACTCATTACATCAATTATCCACCTTAATATTCATTCTGTCAACCTTCGATGTCCACCCACATATTTTTTTTTAAAATAATCGAACTAAAATATGTTCAATTCATGATATACTTAATCGATTAGTTTATTTTTAGTTCAGAGTACTTTGTACCATGTATGTCTTATAACCTCGAAACTAATCCGTTTTATTTTTCTAACTCTCTATCAAATAAGAGATTTGAAACTATTCACTTTTACATTCCTGGAAAAAAGAGGTTTGAAGATTTTCTCTTTTAATGCATGATTATATCAGTTTTTAAAATCGAGAGTTCCTAAAATTGACCTGAAACGTATGAAAGGAATAGTCTTTCCAAATTGCTTTGGCGTTCTATGGAATGGCTTGTGAGAAACTTAGAGGTGTTCTGTACATGATTAGGCTAAGCATATAATATTATAAAAATTCTCCTATTTTCTGTTTTGTCTAAAAGCATTCTATAAAGTAATTAGGCATTTCAAACATTGACTGTGGTGTAACTAACTAGAGGCAAAATATAATTAGGAATTTGTAACCTAAACAAGAAGTGAAAAGAAAAAAAAATATGATGAACGAAACCGTTCTGTAAGAAGCAATTTTCTAGGTAAATACTGACACACTTTAAAATTAAAAATATATAATTTTTTATGAATTAAATTATAATTCTTTATAACTCATCACAGTTGCAGTAATGCACTTTAACAGCCATTGCCAAAGTCTTTTAGCTGTTAGCCAAATCTCTATCTTTAATTAGGTCAATGTCTATGCTATTGTCTCTCTAATATTAAGCTATTATATTTCTAATTCCCCAACAGAGCTATCAGCCACCAAAGATTTATCATGTGAACTCGTTACGTATGCATTCATACCGAATCTCAAAAATCGAACACATAAACCCCATTTCTATATCCACAATCGTTGAGTAGGAGTTGTATACTACATCGTAGATTTACTTGAAATTAATAATATATTTAATGAACATCATGGAAAACCTATGCATGTACAGGGTGACACAAAAAACGGTAACTTTTATGGAACAGAATCCAGTAAAGCCTGGCAATTGAAACCTTAAGTTTGTTTCTTTTTTTTTTTTTTTTTAAATTACGTCCTTTAAATGCCGTCCTCCGGTACGAATGTATCCTTGAAATCTGATGTTGAGATTCCAGATTCTTCATTGACGAAGTTGTAAAAATGTCCCACTGCGCAGCCTCCAAACTATCCCTGTTTTTTATGAAACACACGCTGTTGCCCGTTCCACTGAACCATGGTTACTAAAATGGCTAAGTGTTTACTTGCTCAAGGTCACTATCCCGCAGTGCTGCCACCTGCTCGTGGCTGCCACCATTCATTTCAAAAATTCCCATCTCTTTGTGTCACCCTGTACTTAAACATAAACATTATTTAAAAAAAATTTACTTAAGATAGAATATGTTTGTTTTTTCTTCTTATTTTAAATTTTGGTTTGCAGCTAGCATTGTGATATATACTTAACAGCCACATTTATAAGAATCGTACAGAGTGTTTTAATACAGTGGTTTCGAACTTCCAAGGGGAGGCAGTATCGACTGGTCTTAATGCCAGAAATGTGATCGTACGTCACTAGAACGACTTATCTATCATAAAATTCCAATAGTTGAATTTTCATACTATCAGTCATTTCGAATTTATAAAATACACCATAAACAATATATAAACTTACAAATAGTTTTTTTTTTATTTATAAAAAGTCAAGAAAATGAGAATTAATAATAATAATTGTTAGTTGTATACAGAGTAAAAAAAATATGTTCAAAACTAACAGACTATGATTAAGTTACCGTTTTTCTGGCTCTATAGGGACTTCAAAAAGCTCAGTAATTTTTACGGATGCGTTTAGTTATAATTTTGGTAAAATTAACATTAAAAGAATGTTTCATAATATAAGATCAAATTTAATAATGTTGTAATTTCATCATGGTACCTTAGTGCAAAGCCATTTAGTCGGTAAAATGTTTTTTTTTTTTTTTTTTTTTTTTTTTTTTTTTACTAAATGTGTGACATTAAAAACTAAACTAATATTAAAACCAGAATTTTTACTAAGCCGTTGTCACATAAACAGAAAAAATGCTAAATGAATGCTTTAAATTCCATATATTTAGACTTTTATTATTAGAATTACGATTTGTTTTACTAGAAAAGTAATTACACTACAGTAAGATAATTTCCCCAAAATTATTTTCTCCGTGTACTAACAACAAATAACAATTTTCATTGGCTTTATTGCTGATAAATAGTAATGGCTCTTATTTTCGACAGGCATTAGAAATGGTGAATTATATCCACAGAGAATTTCTCAACATATTGTCTGAAGTTGACTGGATGGATCAACAAACAAAAGAAAGAGCGAAGGAAAAGGTATTTTCATGAAGTTTGTACAGGATTCTTCCCACTGGTTCTAGTATTTTCGTTGATATCTGTTCAAATATTTATTGCCTTCTTTTAGTTTTAACTAGGATTTACCCATTGTTCATATCAAATTAAGCAACTTCTCAATAACAACAGTTTAATACAAAATACTTTAGCTATATGGGGGGATTTATCCTCTGATTATCATCGTGCCATATATTAAATATTAGATTTTCAAGCTACTAGATACTATGTATTATCTGGCAACTGGATTTTCAAGCTTACTAGATATTACGTATTATCTAGCAGATATATTTTAAAGCAGATACTATGTATTATCTGGCTACTGGATTTTCAAGCTTGCTAGATATTACGTATTATCTAGAAGATATATTTTAAAGCTGCTCGATACTATGCATTATCTTTCAACTGGATTTTCAAGCTTGCTGGATATTGCGCATTATCTAACAGCTATATTTTCAAGATGTCAGATACTATGCATTATCTGGAAACTGGATTTTCAAGCTTGCTTGATATTGCGTATTATCTAGCAGCTAGATGCAACGTATTATTTAACAGCTGGATTTTGAAGCTGCTAGATACTACAATTCAGTTACAACTTCATTAAATGAAGCTTAAGAAGAAAAAAAGATGCTTTGTTTTTTAGAATTCTTCTTGCATAATTCATTTGAGTTTATATCTGTGAAAAAAAAGAATTCGAATGCCTGCAGGAGATTTGTTTTCAGAAGTTTGTTAATATCGCAACAAGAATTATAATGCTTCCAAAAAGATATTCAAGTTACTAGATAATAAGTATATTAAGTAACGTCCACCCTGAATACAATTCTATGGAATCTTTTTTTTAAAACCTCGATTTTTAAAAAGGAAATTTTTTTAAAAAAAATAGTCAGCAAATTAATATTTCAAAGAAAAATTAAAATTGTTCCAAAATTCAATGAGTAGGTTTTAACAAAAGCTAGAATGAAAACATGACAACAAGTTTGATTGGTGAAGGAAACAGATAGGAATCTCAAAGAATCATCTTTCATCTCCGGTCTGTTTCCTTTGGCAATCAACTATGTAATGATGTTTTCAGACCCACCTTCTTCAATAAAAATTTGCCGGATTTCGATTTTTTGGCATTTTTATTTTTTCCAGTTTTCAAATTTGTGGTCTCTAATGGGTGGGTTTCTGTAATTTCTTCTTCAGCAAGGATTCTAAAACTGCATATTGAGGGCAGTGACTACGGAACACCTTTACGTTGAAGCATACTAAAAGATACCTACTCTATGCGTAGTTTTCTTTGAATTTAGCTCAATTTAGTTAGAAATTGTATGAAGAAATTAACTTTAAACCCTCTAAGACGGCAAAACTATTTTCTTAACAAGACATTCAATAATTTTATATTATTGTTCCTTTATATTATTTTCTTGACAGTTCTCTACATTTAGCTTTAAATGCAAATAATTCTCACTTATACAAAACCTTAAAATTCTATTGAATACATTCATTATTAAATGATCCGTGTTTTTTTTATCATTTATTATCACAAGTTTTAAAAAAATTTCAATTCTTTGATAATGAACAAAATTTGTCTTCTTGAATTACACGTCTCGTAAAACCTAATTGCAGTTTAGGACATGAAATTATAGGATTTACTTTAATGAGCACATCCATCACATTGGTACCGGATCAGGTAACGGTAATAAGCACTGACATCCTAATTGCTAATATTTTTTACCATAAAATGTTATGGTAAAAAATTGATGTATCGTAATTTTTACTGTAATAACTATATTACTGTAAAAACTAACGTGTAAAATTTTGCGGTAAAAATAAATGTTATGGTGAATTAGATTTTACGATAAAACGGCTTTTGCGGTAAAACGGATTTTACGGATGCTGTACTCAAAATACCAGTACTTTTTACACTAATTTGATCCGGATTATTTTACGTTTAGTTACATTCTACTTCGAATTTGCTTTCTAACTCAATAAACAAATAATTTTTGTTGGAGCATTGTTAAAAATTATGCAGGTACATTCAGATTTTTATGAAAAATTATCGAAAGAAGCATCACTTGGTCCAAGCATTATTTATCGATTAACGATACAACCTTCCAAAAATACGCAATGTTTCAATCTATTATTTTGTAAGCTCATGAGAAATTATATTTTTCTTATATAGGCAGAAAACATGGCCACATACATTGGTTATCCGAATGAATTGTTGGAAGAGTGGAAAGTATCTGACATTTATAATGGGGTAAATAACTTTATTAGTGTTCATCAGTTAATAAATGTTTTATTTTATTGAAAATCAATCTTACTATTTCTTATATTAATTGTCTTGTATATTTTTCTATTAGGGAAACAGTTATTTCTTAATGTCCCATATGGTATCAGCTAAGAAAAGTACTTGCATTACAAGCAAGTAAACTGAAAAATATTTTTTTTTTTTAAAGTTGATAGTTCTATCTTAAAAATTACTTCTTAGTTGACTCTCAATTTATTAAAAAAGCAAACGAAATATCGCTAACTTCCGATATACACCACTCCTTTTCGAATCTAGTAGATTATTGCTAGTTCATTCATATTTCTCACAACAAAATATGGGGATTGTTAAAGCAAAATGATCAATGGTTAGAGTACAGTTAGTGTTGGGCTGACAGGGGGAGGTTTCAGTAGTTTTCATCTCTTTGGCAGTTCAGGAAAATAAGTATTAGTTTCTCTAAAAATTCCTTTCTAAAAACAAGTTTGATACAATTCTACTTGGTTAGAGAAGCCCTTTGTCTTTTAAATGAAGTTTAAATTGACAAGATTGCGGTTATAATCTTTATTTCCTTAAATCTATTTATGTAAGTAGTAAGAGCATTACTGAATATTTCCTAAAAATTATACTAATAACGAGTACATAAGCATCAGAGTAAACTTTTAACTATAATATAATAACGCGAAAAACAAAATCAAGGGCAATTAAATTCTTTTATTCATGCAGCAGTTTTGATGATATGTCATATGCAAGCATAATCATAAGGAATATAAAAAATCTCCGCTACTAATAAACTGAGGGAAGAAAAAAAAAACTATGATAAAAACTACCAGAAAATAGTAAAATTTACCATTTTTTCTGGCTCAATGGGAATATAAAAATAATCGGTAAATTTTTACCATAGTGCTTTGGTAATGACTTTTGTAAAATTAGCAATAAAATATGGTTTTTAAATGCGTGACAAACTTTGGTGCATGTGGTAATTTTATCATGATACTTTAGAGCATGTTGTGAAAGATATTCTGTCAAATTTACTTTTCAGTTTTGTATTTTTTACTAAATATGGGATAATAAAAACTATTATTTTGAAAACCTGAATTTCCGATAAATCATTACCGGAAATTCAGGTTTTCGAACAGAAAAATTGCAATTTGAATAGTTTAAATTCCGCATATTTTTATTTTTATTACCAGTTTTATTTTGCATGTAGTACGATAATTTCGCAGTATTTAAACTTATACGCATTTAAAACCTTTTTAAAATATTATTTGTGATGAAACTTTTATGCATTTTAATCCATTTTAATATAGTATTTGCGATGGAACTCATCCACATTTTAATCCTTTTTAATATATTACTTAAGATAGACTTATACACATTTTAAACCTTTATTATATGCTTTTTTACGATGAAACTTTATATGCATTACAATCAATTTCTAATATATTATTTGCTGTGAGACATATATGCATTTTAACCGTTTTATAGTATATTATTTGCGATGAAACTTTATATGCACTTTTAATCTTTTCCAATATATTATTTGCGATGAGACATGTATGCATTTTAATTCTTTTTGAGATATTATTTGCAATGTTTCTTTCCTTTTTTCACTTACTAATTTTTACTAAACACCAGTTTCATGAGTACCTAAATTTGAGAGAATGTTTCCCTTTATTCACCAGAGAAATGCAGAGAAAACTACTGATTGAAATGTGAGTTTCCATATTTATGTTTGCGAGAGAATGTACAAAACAGCCTTAAAATTTCTAAACTACAATGAAAATTAAATATGTAGATATTTTTTAAAAATTATTTATGAAAAGTTTCATATAAATACGATACTTTTTTTTCAGCTTGTCTTAAACTCAACAAGTTATTTCGAGAATGTACGAGTATTGAGGAAATGGGCAACTGATTATGTTCTGTCGCAACTTCGCAAACCCAACATCAAAGGAGAGTGAGTGGTCAAATTTTACATCTAAGACAAACTTTAAATTCTCTAATTTATAGTTTTAAAAAATTGATCTGATTATATACCTTAAAAATCCTTATTTATGGCACACTCACTTTTTGTATACAACGCTTTAAAAAGCAAAGTAGTGTTCCTTTTTCAGTTAATATGTAAAGAGCACATGGATTATCGTTGGAGTTTGTTTACCTTACGAGCTTAAATTACGAATATTATTAACAATGTTATTAAACATTCGTAAAATACAAACAAGCGTATAAATTTTCTTTTAAATTGCGCAAACAGAATAAATGATCGGAATAACTACTAAGTCGAGTGATACCTTTGCTTGCAAAAAGAAACAAAATCTGCGTTGTTTTGTCTGTAAATTATGAAAGATGTCTAAATACGCTATTGAGAAAAAACGAAAGTTGTACAGCTGCTTGTCGTGACACTTTTAATGTCTGTAAAAAAATTAATTCCAGACAATCGCTTAAAAGCATTTAATTTTCCAATCGGAACACATTAACCCCTTCCCTCTCACCCCCGTTAAAATCACGTGTTGAGTTTTCGTTTCATATTTCTCGTGCTCGTGATATTTTCGGGCTGGAGCACTCAAAAGTAAACCTTAAAAAATGCTTAAATATATCCATTGCTTGTGCCCGGAATTTTTTTATCTCTTATTTTACACACCAGGTGGCTGCACTAGACTATTTTTAATGTAACTGGAGATAGTTTATTTTTAACTGGATGTCAGCACTGTCCAAATACGTATATGTATTTCGTACTCTTATATCAGCTATTTATGCTCTTTGTAAATACACGTGATTTGTGTTCTGTGATAAAATATTTTTTAACATTGAGCACTTTATGGCAGTTTTTCCCAAAGTGTGGTACGCGTACCCCCAGGGGTACGGGAACAGTTTAGAGGGGGTACGCGTTCTTGTGTGAAATATCTTGCAACAAACGAAAATTTTAAAACAAAGCTAGCTAATTCAGCTAAAATCGAAAGCAAAATAAAAGCTAAATTCAAAAACAAAGCTAGCCATGAAAATTTACGATATCGTATTTTTCCATTGGCTATTTTTTGCAGAGTTAGCAGTTAATATTAAGTGGTGTCAACAGCCAGTTGTGATTTTTAACTTTTGTGCTTTTTTTATGGTAAAAAAATACGTTAATTTTTTTTATCAGTGGTACACAGCGTTACGAAAAATTTAGAAGGGGTACACTAAAGTCATAAGTTTGGGAAACACTGCTTTATGGAGTCATAGCATGGAGTACATATGGAGTTTTAAATTTCACACTAAAAAAATTTTCAAAAATCAAATATTGCACACACACCTTTTTTATATAATTTTCTTGAATAAAAAATTACGTATTTTTATGACCGTTTTCTTGAAAATATTAAGATTGTTAAGAGGTAAAAAGATTTCATAATAGGCTTCTCCTGCATCGAGACAACGCTTTCAGCCAGATTTCCCACCATCGTTTTTTCGGAATATTCTTCAGATCTTCCCTTCCACAAAGCTCTTTTACCCTGCCAATTGTCCTGAAAGGATGTCTTTCCATTTTTGTTCTCATGCGCAAAAAATAACTGTAGAGTTGTTGGGAAACTGTTCAACCATTTGAATTGGTCAGAAAGCAAAATATACGGATGACCTATAGAAATAAGGCTTTTTATTTACACATTTTTCTCATCCGCAAATTGTTCATCACACTCAATTGTTCAATTCTATTTACGATGTCTTTATGAGAAGAAAGAGTAGTTAATTTAAAATTAAAAATATGTAATCGTGACAGCAGAAAATATTATGGAATAAATTTAAGTACCTATTTAAATTAAATACAAACATGAACGATTATACAATTCATAACATAAATCTTCTTGAAATTACTTTTAAAATGTAGGTTGATTTACATAATGTTTAATTTTAGCTGGAAAAAACGATCCGCTGCAGCAGTGGTTAATGCTTACTACAACTCAATTGAGAACAGCATTGGTAAATACATTTCATTCGATTTGCAAAATTATCGAGAGTGTTCTACTAATACTGCTCTGAATATCCATCTTTTAAATCATTTTTGAAAAAACCAATTAGCAAATCAACATTTATGAGATCAACTAATAACGTTGTTTAATTTTTAAGTCCTGTATATTAAAAGTTATAGTTTTGTGTAAAAAGAGCTAACTCAATTATTTAATAATTTATGTGGTTCAGTTGTAGCTTGATGTGTCTTTTGGCTAAACATAGCTTAATGTAGTGAAACTTCACCGTGTGTGGTAACTGCCTCTGATGTAACTCTCTTTTACTACCTTAATTTGAACAGGCTTAACGAGCTGCTTGTTTTTACTGTCTAGTTATGATAGATACAGTAACTCTAGGAGAAACAGAAATTGTCCCGTTTAGTCTGAAATGTCGAAACTCGTTTTATTGTTACTTTAGTTAAAGAAATAGTTTTCTTTTTCAAAATCTCTACTTTCCATTTAGTAGTTCGTTTTGGATTTCCATCATATATGTTATTATCAATTCGTTTTCGACATAGATTCCAAAATTACATGACATGAGCGGTATTTATAGAACACCATGTGTTTATTGATTCAAAATTTTAAACTTTTTTACTTTTTCTGTTTTGCAGAATTTCCTGCTGGTATTCTACAGGGTCTCTTTTTTGACAAAGATAGGCCGAAGTAAGAAATATTAGCTACCTAATTATTAATAATTTTGACAGAAATTAAAATATTTATGTTGTATCTTGCAATAATTTTTCTATAAAAAAAAAGGTTAATGTTAACAATTATTTTTTACAGTTATTTGAATTTTGGAGCCATAGGATTTGTGATTGGTCATGAAATAACCCATGGATTTGATGATAGGGGTAAAAATCAATTATCTTTTGCTTGTTGCCATGGATATCATTTGTAACTAATTGGCTTTATTGCAATAAATAATTGTAGAAAATATAAATAAAATTTTGTACAATTTATTAATTTATAAACTTACTGAGAAATACTTGAAAGTTTTTTTTGACAGTTTTATATACTTAATAGCATTTAATATTATTATAAGTTATTATTTTAGACTTTTTTTTTAATAATAATTACTATTATTATTATTAAGTTTTCTCCTCATAATTTCACGTTATTAATTCATTATAAGCTATCAAATATTATAAATTAATTGTCGATAAAAGCAATTCTTTAAAAGATATTTTTATTGTAAAACGCTGTAATTGCAAAATAGAAACAACTAACAGAATGAAGTTTGGCAGTTTTTGCGCTTGTAGTAAAAAATAAAATTAAAAAAAAAGAATTCACACTAGACTGATTATGAAGTAATGTTGAAAAGCCTTAATAAACATTAAAAAAAAGGAAAAAAGTCTGGAAAATAATCTAAAATAAGCAGGCTTCTCCTAGTGTTGATTGTTAAAGCGTGCAGCGTAAATATCTGATTAAACGTTAATAAATAAGTTCGGGAAATTATTCCACAGAAGTAGTGTTAATTTTGTACTTATCGAAAAATAGTGTAAAAACATATAAATAAACACAAATAATTGAAGTCGGGAAATAAGAAAAAAGATGTAAATGGAACATGCTCGAAAATATTTTAACTTGCAATTCGTTACAAATACAAATCAAAGTAATATAATGATTGCCCAAACAAAAAATGGAGACGTATGATTAGGTCAGATTGACTGCAACTATAGAAGCACCAAAGGACGGGGATATAAAGGGCAGTAAAAGCAGTTCAATGCTATTCAAGAGTGAAAGCTGTTCTGTTCATAATCGAGGAAATTATCAAAAGTAAAATCATACTATATATGGGTGTGCCTAGATCGGAACAACGATTGATTCCTTGATCAAAGGGAGCACAATCAATTCTAAACCAATCGGCAGTACTCTGACGAAACTATGGAAATTAATCAAAAGCATTCGGCCAGGCCTTTTGATGCAACAAATTATCGTTCTCCATGATAATGCTCGCCCGTATGTCTCTTACAAAATTGCTGTTAGGAAGTGTTTTAACACCTGTAGTACAGTCCAGATTTGTCCCCTTGTGACTTCCACATCTTTTAGCCATTTAAGAGAGCATTGCAGGGGACACGTTTCCATTCGACAGCGAAGTGAAGGAAACTTTAAAGGACTTCTTACGTAATGAACCACAATCTCTCTACAGCAAATGCATAAACCTGATAAATAAACTATAGGACTTGCGTTATAACGACCCTGGCGATTTCTTTTTATTTAAAAAAAAACGTATTTTTTTCCTTCAGTTTGTCTACTTCTTATTTAGGTGATTCTTATAGCTTAAAATCTGATGAATATTTCGTTTTTGGCCATGGTATTATAATTGCATGATGATTTTAAATTTTAAGTTCATTAATACATGAAATAACTGGGCTGAATATAATCTTCTTGTATATTTGCACAGGACGCCAATTTGACAAAGATGGTAACAATTTGAATTGGTGGGAGCCTGAGACTGATTTAAACTTTAAAGAAAGAGCACAGTGCATCATTGAGCAATATGGAAATTATACAGTAGGAGATGAAAAATTACTTGTAAGTTTATGGTAGATTTACCAAATAGTTATTTCTACAACTATGTTATTAAATTTCGGTTCATCTGAGACTCTTCACATCATATAACTGTTTTCTTACGATGACACCATTGTTGAAAAAAAATTAAAATTTTATTCTGGCAATGAATCATTTATATTTAAAAAATATATATATAATATTTTAAAAAAATACATAATATTTTTAAAAAATACATAATATTTTAAAAAATATCTAAAAAAATATTTATTGATTTTAACATTAATTACAAAGCTTTATCAATAGATTACAAAAGAAATTTTTTCAACAATGTTTGGCGATCAAATCATTTTTGGAAAAAATTACCATTTTAATCTAACAATGAACCATTGTTATTAATATTTTTAAAAAATATCTANTCAACATTTTAGACTTTTTTACTTTTTCTGTTTTGCAGAATTTCCTGCTGGTATTCTACAGGGTCTCTTTTTTGACAAAGATAGGCCGAAGTAAGAAATATTAGCTACCTAATTATTAATAATTTTAACAGAAATTAAAATATTTATGCTGTATCTTACAACCATTTTTCTAAAAGAAAATAATAATGTTCACAATTATTTTTTATAGCTATTTGAATTTTGGAGCCATAGGATTTGTGATTGGTCATGAAATAACTCATGGATTTGATGATAGGGGTAAAAACCAATAATCTTTTGTTTGTTGCCATGGATATCATTTGTGACTAATTGGCTTTATTACAATAAATAATTGAAGAAAATATAAATAAAATTTAATACAATTGTTAACATACAACATACAGAGAGTTCATACAATTTTCATACAATTGAATTATAAACTTACAGAAAAATACTTGAAAGTTTTTTTTTTTTTTGATAGTTTCATACACTTAATAGCATTTAATATAAAAGTTATTATTTTATTCTTTTTAAAAAAAAATTATAATTACTATTATTATTATTAAGTTTTCTCCTCATAATTTTACTTCATTAATTCACTATAAGCTATTAAATATTATAAATTAATTGTAGATAAAAACAATTCTTAAAAGATATTTTTATTCTAAAAAGCTGTAATTGCAAAATAAAAACAACTAACAGAATGAAGTTTGGCAGTTTTTGCACTTGCAGTAAAAAATAAAATTTAAAAAAAAAAGAATTCACACTAGACTGATTATAAAGTAATGTTGAAAAGCCTTAATAAACATTAAAAAAAAAAAGTCTGGAAAATAATCTAAAATAAGCAGGCTTCTCCTAGTGTTGATTGTAAAAGCGTGCAGAAATATCTGATTAAACGTTAATAAATAAGTTCGGGAAATTATACCACAGAAGTAGTGTTAACTTTGTACTTGTAGAAAAATGGTGTAAAACCGTGTAAATAAACACAAATAATTGAGTTCAGGAAATAAGAAAAAAGATGTAAATAGAACATGTTCGAAAATATTTTAACTTGCAATTCGTTACAAATAAAAATCAAAGTAATATAATGATTGCCCCAAAAAAATGGAGACGCGTGATTACACTGCGACTATGGCAGCACCACAGGACAGGGATATAAAGTTGCGGAAGGAGCTGTTCAACGGTGAAAGTTGTTCTGTTCGTAATAGATGAAATTATCAAAAGTAAAGTCGTACTATACATGGATGTGTCTAGATCGGAACTAAGATTGATTCCCTGATCTGAGCACTATCCTATAATTTTAAGTTTCTAAGCCATTCTACAGTACTCTGACGAAACTATGGAAAGTAATCAAAAGGATACGGCCAGGCCTTTTGACACAACAAGTGATCGCTCTCCATGATAATGCCCACCAGAAAGTCTCCAGCAAAATTTCTGTTGGGAAGTATCGGACCAGCAGCACAGTCCAGATTAGTCACCTTCTGATTTTGAGACTTCCACATCTTTGAGCCATTTAAGAGAACATCAAAAGGTACACGTTTCCATTCGGACGACGAAATGAAGGAATCTTTAAAGGACTTCTTACAGAATCAGCCACAATCTCTCTACAGCAAATGCATAAACCTAATACCTAAACTATGGGACCTGTGTTACCATGGCGATTTCTTTTGACTTTTAAAAAACGTATCATTGTCTTTCAGTTTGTCTGCTTTTTATTTGGGTGATTCTTATAGTTTAAAATCTGATAAATATTCTGATATCGGCCATGGTATTATAATTGCATGATGATTTTAAATTTTAGGTTTATTAATACATGAAAATACTTAGCTGAATATAATCTTCTTGTTTATTTGCACAGGACGCCAATTTGACAAAGATGGTAACAATTTGAATTGGTGGGAGCCTGAGACTGATTTAAACTTTAAAGAAAGAGCACAGTGCATCATTGAACAATATGGAAATTATACAGTAGGAGATGAAAAATTACTTGTAAGTTTATGGTAGATTTACCAAATAGTTATTTCTACAACTATGTTATTAAATTTCGGTTCATCTGAGACTCTTCACATCATATAACTGTTTTCTTACGATGACACCATTGTTGAAAAAAAATTAAAATTTTATTCTGGCAATGAATCATTTATATTTAAAAAATATATATATAATATTTTAAAAAAATACATAATATTTTTAAAAAATACATAATATTTTAAAAAATATCTAAAAAAATATTTATTGATTTTAACATTAATTACAAAGCTTTATCAATAGATTACAAAAGAAATTTTTTCAACAATGTTTGGCGATCAAATCATTTTTGGAAAAAATTACCATTTTAATCTAACAATGAACCATTGTTATTAATATTTTTAAAAAATATCTAATATTTTTAAAGATTAATTACAAAGCTTTATCAATAGATTACAATAGAAATTTTTTCAACAATGTTTGGTGATGAAATCATTGTTGGGAAAAAATTACCATTTTAATCTAATAATGAACCATTGTTAATAATAATTTTGAAAAATATCTAATAATTTTAAAGATTAATGACAAGGCTTTATCAATAGATTACAATCGAAATATTTTCAACAATGTTTGCTAAGTTGCAGATTATAAATCTAAGTATAAACTTTTATTTTTATAATGTGATAATGAAAACGAAGTTTTAACAATTAGATTATATATTTTTTATTTATCAACACTGTTTGTCAGGTTTCAAAATATAAATCTAGTTTATATCCTTTATTTTTAATTAAGGATAACAAAGATTTATCATTAATCTAATGATAAATCTTTGTTATCCTACAAATCAGAAATCCACAAATTAGATTACAAATCACAATTGTAAATCTTTTACAATATTTAAAGAGTGCAAATGATAAATCTCATCTGTTTACAATTAAATCTCTCAATTATTTTTTTTCTTCCATGAAATGAAAGATTTTATATCTCACCATTATGAACTCCTCTTACAAATTAAATTAAAATATTTGGTTAATTATTATTGTTTTTACGCAAATATTAGCAGACATTAATTTATTAAATTTAAATATAATTGACAATGATTTAATTTTAAATTATAATTGAGATTATAATTTAAAATTTTTATTTAAATTCAAATTATTAATCAAAGTGAAATCTTAAACTGGCGGGATTCAAATTTATTATATATTATTAAAATATGCAAGATAATACTTCTTTAACATCTAACATTTCAATATACTTAATTTTGTCCGTGAAAGATCATTTATAATTACTTGGTAATAAATAACGCATTTAAAAATTACAGTTTCTTCAAATAACTGCTAACGAAACAAATGCATCAAAATTTTAATGAAATTCAAAAACAAAACAAAATTTTAAGTTACAATTAAAATATGTTTTTCTACGAGTTTAAGCATTTAAATTAAAGTTATTCATTTTCGTGTACACTTAAAAATGTAACTTCCTTTTTTTCTACATTTAAAAAATAAAAATATTTATCTTAAAATCATACAATTTATGGAATAATTCAAAAATTGATTAATTTATTTCAAATCAAATTTATTACAAATTTTTATTAAAAAAAAGGAAATAAAATAATAAAATAATTTGCTAATAATAAGAAAAAAACTGATAAAGCATGTCTAAATATTTCCGATACACTGTTCATAAGTAAATTAAAGTACTATTTCCGATAATAAAAAAAATGACTGTATAATGATTCTAGAGATATTCAACGATTTTTAGAGTTATGCTAAAAATAAGAAGAAGCTAAAATAAACATCTTTTTCTGTTTACTAGGAACTACTATCATTATGTTTTATCATTTTATTTCTTTTTAGGTGAATGGCATCAACACGCAAGGTGAGAATATCGCAGACAACGGTGGCATTAAAGAGGCATTTAGGGTACGGCAACCCCGTTTTTTTTTTATTTCGATAAATATTCGATTCTGAAAGGACTGCAATAAGTTATTCATGACAAATCTGACAAATTGATATTTCCTCATCCAGACAGTTTTTCCTTGATCAACGCTCGACGTATTTTATTTAATTATTTATTGCCTATTATTAATACTTTTGGGAGAATCAATCTACAATTTTTATTTTATTTCTGACTGGCTTAATACTCGTTCTACGTATGTAGTAAAGAAAAATCGTAAATAATAAAGAATCGATATTAATAAGAAACTACAAAATCATTCACAAAACCGGAAATCATGTACCAACACAGTTATAAAATTTAAATTTAAAAAACTATGAAATCATTCACGAAACCGTTATGCATATACCAACACAGTTATAAAATTAAAATTTAAGAATTTAAATTTTTAATTAAATTTAAATTTTCTACTTATGTAGTAAAGAAAAATCGTAAATAATAAATGAATCGATATTAATAAGAAACTACGAAATCATTCACAAAACCGGAAATCATGTACCAACACAGTTATAAAATTAAAATTTAAGAATTTAAATTTTTAATTTAATTAAAGAATTTTTCTTCCTTTTTATGATAATTTGTTACATTTTTTTGACTTGTGAGATCAAAAGATGTTTTTGAAAAGTTCGAATAAATAATAAAATATGTAAATAAATTGATAATTAATAAAAGATGAACTCTGTTTAGGATAATTTGGGCATTGAAAATGAGGCTATTGGTCACGAGCATAACAGGATAGTCAAGATTTAACTATAAATATATCATTTATTTTTTTAAATTTAAATTATAGCTGACTTTACAGAATTTACATTTATAAACACACGTTTCAAAGACGTAACTGTGAACAAATTAAGCATGTAGTTTCAGACAGACGAATTCAATGACGACATGCCACCCATGTTGATTTTACTGTACTTAGGAGGCATAAAAAAGTTAAAGATAGGCAATTATTAACAAATACACAATGAACTCCTGATGAATTTGTAATTAAGTAGAGCTGTAAGTTGAAAACATAACTGATGTTGCCTATGATTCAAGCAAAAACGATACTTTAGTTATAAGAAAACATGCACAGTAATTTATTATCATCAATAGTTACACATATTTTTTTTTATTTAACTTAAAAATCAATTGTAATAAAATTCACTTTCATCTACAAAACTTACTCTCTTATAATCAATGTTATTAAAACGATAATTAAGAAAGACTGAACACCCCTCCCCCAATGCAAACAGAAGCATCGAAATAAACAAATAAATGGCGGTATGTTTCTGATCATGAAATAATTTCTTGCTTTAGCTGCTCATTTTCTTGAAGGAAAAAAAAAACACGAGAGAACTTTAGATGTACGACTTTTTTGCCCTTTCGTGTCTGTTTTTTTTTTCTTATAGTTATTATTCACTTTTATATTCCTCAGAAATATATGCAAAATTATGAAAGTTTGATACATCAATAAAGTATCGATTTTTTTTTCTCAACAAAATTAGAGACTGCACTTTTTGAAATACTATTGCCATATTTATAAGTATTTCTTTCTTAATTTTCAAAGTAAGAAAGAGAGACATATTCACAGATCTTAATACGTATTTATAGAATTATCAAAAATAATGTTTAAAAAATGGCACATTAGGCGTCGGAGCTTTAAGCGAGGAAAATTCGTAAGCATTGTCAAACCCTGGCAAATTCCCATTTAGTAAGACTGAATTAAAAACATCAAAGTCTGATTGATTGCTGGATGAAATTTTAATATGCTTGAGTTAATTGACTTTTACTTTCTCTCAGTTTTCTCAGGCAACCAAACAAATATGCATGTTTTTAGCATTGCATACTTCGTTTTTATATCGTTTTTCTTTTTACGTCACTTAAATATTTACTGATGGAGACCCTTAATGTACGTACATATTTAGAGATAGATGGGTATTTTAATTCCTTTTTGACAAGGATTCTAAAAGTATATTTTAAGGGTGGTGATTAAATAACTTGTAGGGATTTTAATCTTTATCTTAGACTATGTCAACCTTCATCTATCAAAAGGTACCGTTTTGATAGAATCAAGTTAACATGTCTTATATACTAGTGATTTCGTATTTAATATTTGTAGTGGTAGTTACGCCGCATTATTCTCCTTCCAGAATTTTATCTGTGATAGAATTCGATGAACGATTATCACTAGTTAATTTATGCTGTTAATACATTTAGATAATTTTGCTCATTATATTTTCTTATAGCATTTCGCTCATTTTTTTATTTTTCCTTCATTTTTGTTTATAGCATTTCTCTAATTTTTTTTCTCTTGTTTTTTACCAGGAGACTTTATTTACTTCAACGGATTTTTTTTTCTTTGATCAGTTTATTTTAAGCAAATCAACTGTTTAATGTGGGACCATCCATCAATGTTGGCAAGTTCATATCACGTCCGGGTCACCATTGAAGGAATTTTAATTTTTATCAACCTTCATCTATCAAAAGGTACCTAGATAGGTACAAAAGGTACAAAATATATAGAATCAAGGTACATACATATCAATACATAGATAATCAATACATAGATATCAATACATAGATAATCAATACATAGATATCAATATATATCATCATACATCAATACATATCAATATATAATACAATCAATATATATCATAGATAATCAATACAATAGATATCAATACATAGATATCAATACAAGGTACATACATAGATAAGGTACAAAAATACATAGAATCAAGTCAACATGTCTTATATACTAGTGATTTAGTATTTAATATTTGTAGTGGTAGTTACAGCACGAAAATAATTGCATATAAATTTATCCATTTTTTATACATAAAAAATTATAACTGAGCTGTGGGATAAACGCAAAAAGAACACTCATAACATTTTTTTTTACTTCTATTTCTATTGGTTTTATTGACACGAGTGTTTTTAGTTTTTCAATAAAATACGGCGTATTTCTCAAACTGTTTTACCCTTTCCGTACTTTTCAAGAACTCAGCATAATTCAGTTATTACGCATGTGTTTAAAACAGTTTTCTTATAATTTTATATTTGAAAAAAACATTTAAAAACTGAATTTAGTATCTTTTTTTCCAGGCTTACTTGCAATGGATCAGAGATCATGGAGCTGAAGACTATCTTCCAGGAATAAAATATTCTCCAACTCAGCTATTCTGGATAAGTGCTGCAAATGTACATTTTGAAATTCTTAATTTGAGATTTAAATACATTGTTATTTCAATCTGTTACATAAAATGATTTTACATTAAAGGGTCACCAGAAGTAACTTGGACATATAATGCATTACATAGTGTCTGTTTTATAACCGGTATTGAACAGTTGAACCATTTCTGAGTTTACAACTATCAGTATCTATAGTTGCATCTCTATATGAGTTTACAACTATCAGCAATTTCGAGCCCAACCCAAAAGACAAAAGAACTCCTGGATCAAGCGTTGGGGCAAACATGCCTTTGTGGAAAACTTTTGATGAGTTAACCCCCCCCCCCACATTTGCGTTACATATGTGTAGGAAAACTACAAAAACTCCCGATTAGACTGATTGCAAAGGGATTCTGTCCCATGATCCGTCTACCCCTGAGGATATTTTACGTCAGCACTGTTCTTGGTACTAGCCGCGTGAAAAATTCATATCAACCAGCCATAACTGGGATTCGAACATTGGTCCCCTCATTTGGAGGCAAGCACTCTATCCCCAAAGGCACCCCAACTCACTTAGTGCTTATTTTTTTTTTAAATGTATATTTTACAACCGTAATTGAACAACTGACCCAATTTCGGGTTTACGACTGCCATCGGTCAACTCCGTAGCCTTGTAATTTTGAATCTAATCCAGAAGACAAGAAAACTACTAGATCAAGTCTGGGGAGAAATTTGCTTTCGGGGAGGACTTTTTGATGAAACTAACATGCATCTGCTTTACACTGAGAGGAAAACCACGAAAATCTTTCACTCTTAGCCTGACGACAAAGAGACTCTAACCCGTGATTCGTCTACCACTGAGGATATTTTGCGTCAGCACTGTGGTCGCTGCGAGCCGGGTGCAGAATTTGTATCGACCAGCTTTGACTGGGATTCGAACCCGGTTCACCTCTTTGGGAGGCAAACAATCTATACCCTGAACCACCGCGGCTCACATATTGCTTATTTTATAACCATCGTTGAACAGTCAACTCAATTTTGGGCTTACGACTACCAATGTTTAACTATTTAGCCTTGTAATTTTGAATCCAACCCTAAAGACAAGGGAACTCTTGGATCAAGTATTGAGAGAAAATATAGTGCTTATTCACATAACATGAAAGAATTACTACCAATACCATTTTTACACATCTACAAAGTGACCATCTTCGGTCTTAATGCGCACGTGATTTCATGATGAACGTCATGTGATTCGGACACCAACTTACTTTTCAGAGGTGCTGTAACTAAGGGAATAGAGTGCTCGTCTTCAAATCAGAAGAGCCAGGTTCAAACCCCAGCATTGACTGGTCATTAAAAGTTCTGCTCCCGGTTCTCACCAACTAAAATGCTCGTGGCATGCAATGCTCTCAGTGATAGACGTATCATGAGTAAGAATCCCCTTGCTGTCGGGCTAACTGTGTGAGGTTTTGTGGTTTTCCTCTCTGTGTAACGTAAATGCGGTTTGGTTTCATCAAAAATTTCTCCACAAAGGCTTGTTTGTCACAGTGCTTGATCTAAGATTTCAATCTAAGAATCCAACATTGATGGTTGTAAAATGAATATTAGGTCGGGTGTAAAACGCCGGTTATAAAATGAAATAAGACCTTCTTTTCAGGATGAATCAAACGATAAATATATCAAGTTTAAGCCGGGTGAATAAGGTGGCCTTTCTTGCGGTGCAAGAGGGCAATGAAAACGTACTTTGCTATTTTCTTGAGTGCTTTTTGCTCTGATTGCTGCATTAAAATCCTGTTGAAAACTCCATTTTCAGTTTTCAAGAAGCTCCAAATCACCTTCTAAAATGAATTTACGCTCCATTGAGATAAAAAATATTTGACTTTAAACAATGTCCAATTTATTCCTTCTCACTCTGTATAAATAATAAGCAAATGCGATTCATGTTATAGACTGTTTTACGACTTATTGATGTTGCTTTTGGAGTCCATTTTTAATTTCAACCATTATATTTTATTTTTAGGTATGGTGCGGAAAGTATAGACCAGAAGTATTGAAATTGAGAATTATGACAGGTTCACATAGTCCAGCCCCTTACAGGTAATTATTGTCACTTGCCTATATTTTCAATCTATACTGAAATACTACCCTTGCTATTGCTGCTAATTCTTTCGAGATAAATATGACGTTTTGAACATTGATACAATAACCAAAAATCATTTTTTTTATTTGTTGTAAATCAAGATTTAATGAAAAATGGTTGTAGTTATGATTTAGGTGGACTGGTTGAGGGGTTGGAGCCCTAGTTTCTCTATCTGGTGACCCAGGTTTAAAATTTCGCGATGACTTTGCACTTCTGGTAACTGTGACTCCTTTCATATGCCAACCACAGTGTTGATGCTAATTGTCTCTAGATAGATGAACAATATATTCGAGTCCTCTTGCCATCGGGCCAACCACGGAAGGTTTTCCTGTCCATGTAATTCAAGGGCTGGTTAGTTTTACTCCAAAAATTCTCCACGAAGGCGAGTTTTTTCCTTTGCTTGATCCAGGAGATTCTTTGCCTTTTGGATTTATAGTTATTAGACTACGGAACTTCGATTTTACCGTAAATACGGTATGGGTCATGGATCGGTGGTTCACTGCTGATAATAAAATGAAATATTAATTTCCTTCTCTTTCCCTAGGGCAAAATTCTGTTCATTAAAAATCATATTTCATTTATATTCGATTTGTCACTTTTTTAAACATTTTGTGTTTCAGTGCTCCACACACTGCAATCAGTTTGACATATTGTCAGCAATCATGTTCTTTTAACAAAGTTAATCAGTGGGGGGTTACAAACTGATATTTAGTGAAAAATATCACTGATATATAAATACTGACGCTATTTTTAAAATCGTCTGCAGTTTCCTTTATAATAATGGCGCTAAGTGAACCAACTAGAAAATTCTGACCGATCCAATAGGATACCTGCAAGTGACGTAGTGTGGGTATCTCGATCCTGATTGGTCGTTGAAGCGTGACATTTGTTTACGTTAGCAACGTAAGCCTGTCAAGTATCAATTCGCTTAAGTGACGCATTCTAAATTCTTCCACAATGATTCTTTATCAAAGATTTCAATTCTTTCACTATATATTTATACTATATATTTTCACTATATACTTAGCAAAGAGACGGGCACGAAGCCATGTTTAAACAATCTAATTATGCATCAAAGTTACCAGGTACACAAAACAAAAATGCGTCACGGTTGCAATAAAAAACATGAACAAATAATAAATCTAAGTTAAGTAAAAGAAGTAGACCAGAAAGAATTGTATTTCAACTAATTCGATGTGCTTTACGGCTTTGTATTTAATTAATTATCGTTAATTAACATTTTAACTTATGTAGAGAGACTCAGGTCAACTTTAATAATCCATTTTTCGGATAAAGATTAGCTGGCATGACGTCATAAGTCACATGTACACCGAAGAGCCATTACATTATGACCACCCTGCTAATAACATGTAGGACCACCTTTAGCCCTCAAAACTGCTAGCACCCGCCGTGGCATTGATTCCACAAGATGCTGATAGGTAGTCTGAGGTATCTGGTACCAAGCGCTCACCAACTGGTCCTGCAATTCTCTCACGTTGCGAGGGGTTAGCGTGGCAGCACGAATTTGGTTTTCCAAGTTGAACCACAAATCCTCTATTGGATTAAGGTCAGGTGAATTTGGGGGCCGAGACATGACTTGAAAGTCACTGGAATGTTCCTCGATGATTCGACCCTTATGACATGGTGCATTATCCTGTTCGTAAACACCATCCCCCGCAGGAAAAAACAGTTGGCATGAATGGGTGAACCTGGTCTGCAACTATGTTCAAACAGCTTACAGACATCAGGGATTGTTCTATGAGGATTATGGGTCCTAATGTGCCCCATGAAAACAATGTTCCTGGGCGAGAAACCATGAAAACCTGGGTGAGCTCATTGTTATAGATGGAGGGTGGTCATAATGTAATGGCTCTTCGGTGTATATGGGTCTATAGGTGACATGGGTATGGAAGGTCTTATTCTTGAAGTGTAAGTACCGAATTGTTATTTTTGTACGATTTTTAAGAGACTGGGCAAAAATTGCCCCTTTCACTTAGTCTCCAAATTTCAAGACGCTGGCATAAATGGTTCAGGACTTATAAGAGCAGACAAACTCTTCATTTTATTATTATAGATGATTAAAAAGCATTTTTTTTATTTTTTATTTTTTATTTTCAGGGTGATCGGTCCTTTAGCGAACACTCCTGATTTCGCAAGAGAATTCGGCTGCGCTCTGGGAACGCCAATGAATCCTGTGAAAAAATGCACGGTATGGTGAAATATTTCGTGCCGTCCAAATAATTCCGCATCGTTATCATTGCGTTTAGTTCTAAAACCTGTGATCTAAACGCCTGCTTCTTAAGACGAAAAAACTTCTACAAAAGAACCATCATTAGTTAGAAACATGTTTTTATCTTAGCGTATGGCAATGCTTGTCAATATTCATATCATTTTTGTCAAACGTGAAGCAAGATGAAAGAAATTTAGTGCTGCCATCTATTAACTTTAATAGAAAACTAATTTTGTCTTGACTTTTGAAGAAACTTCTCTCTCAAATGTACTTCAAATGTAATGCCAACTCTTGCTTAAAAATAATATGTTTGGAAAACATATTTATGATCTCATTACGAATGAAACAGAGTAATATTTATGCATGTTTATTGGAGATATGTGTGATTTGAAGGGGAAAAAATCCATGTTAAAAAAAGAGACGATCTCATAAAAAAACCTATTATGAAAACATGTTTGCGAAAATTTTTGTTGGGATATTTTTGTGAGTGAAATTTTCTGAAAAACTGAATCAGAAAAGAACTGTCTCCATTCATGTTTCAATTATGGAACAAAGTATGTCTCTAATATAGTACTGAAAATGATTGCTGTAATTTCAACTGAAAATGAGTGTTAAAGACTCTTTATGTTTTATGTATGGTACACATAATGTAAAAAAACATTAAAAGATTTTATATTAATATTTGTGATTATAAATATAATATGAATGCAAAAGTAGCCAGGCACTGGGTGCCTATAAATAACATCTTTTGACAACCAACTATTCATTGTTGGTAAGAAAGTATAAATTAATATCTGTCTCAAACAATTAATTTGCTTCATCTACCTCGTAGCTCTGCATCTCCCCTCTGCATGGTATGGCATTGTAATAATATTATTAAAATGCCATAATAATATTATTAAATGCTATAAGGTGCCCAAATAGCACCTAATGTTAGATAACATCAGAAAATGGGCAAAAATCTAACGTTATCTTACACAACTTCTAATACTAGAAAGATACAAGAGGTCGCTGTTTGCTCTTCATTATGGGTCATTCTCACAAAAAGCTGATTTTTTCAGTCTCTTAGTAATAAATATTAGGAAATACAGCAGATTTCTTAATATTTTTCTTCATCATTTTTCGTAAAGTTCTAACTAACAAATCATATGCATTTCTGCTAAATGTATTTAATATTTCATTCTTATTTTTTAATAAACATAACTTCAAAATCCCCTCCGTGGACGTCCCTACGTCTGTGACACAAAATAATTTTTAATGGCTGTTAAACAATTTAAATGTTATTTTAATGATTTTTGTAGTTTTAACTAGTTAAATGTTTATAGTAACTTTTTATTTAATATTTTTTTAAAAAAAATTTATTTTTATAAAATAAATGACTAGTAAACTTTGTCCATCAAAAATGAAATCTCCCTCCATGGACAATTAATATAGTTCGGTAAATATGCAATAAAGGGCAGCATATGCGAAATCCCTATAAGACAGCTGCTGGGAAAGGTAACCATTCCATTTTCTAATGTTAACTATCAGTTGTTTTTGTTCTCTTTGGTGTCAGTTTTGGATTGTTGTGTTCAACTGGGGTTTGGCAAAGTTCTCACCGTATACTCCGTGGACATCATAAAGAAGGTAAGAGAAAATTATTTTATTTTTGATAGATGAATTTTAGATTGCAAAAATAGTATATTTAATAAAAAGAACTGCCCCATTTTTGTAACTTTAAAATTAAAAATCAGAAAAATTCAAGAACTAGTTTTTGTCTCCTCCGTGGACATAACAAGTCCACGGAGGAGAAGACACAGTCAATGGAAGAGACAATGTGTTAGATAACCATAATACAATTTTAATAATTAAAAAACTATTTTCTTTTAATTGATATTTTTTAAAATGGAACAAATGTGTTAATTTGTTTGTATTTTTAAAGAAAATCAATTAAGTTTAACTTTTTCTTATCGGAGAAGTAAATATTGGCAATTTTTCTAAATAATTTCTGTGATGTTTAACATTTTTTTTCTCTTCAAATTTTAGGAAAAAAATGGCAAAACCAAAATGTAAAAAAAGAAAGCAATCAAATGTTCAAATGCAAAAGAGAAGGGAACAGAAAAAACTTAGTATGAGACAAGCTAGACAGAAATTAAAAGAAAACCCTATATTGTTTGAAGAAAAAAAAAAAAAAAAAAAAGAGCAAGAAACTTTAAAATCTGTATCAGAAAAAGATTTAACAGAAAAATCGTGATTAAATGTACTTAAATTTCTAGAAATTGATAGAGCAAGCCGTTTGTGCCCAGGGAAAAAAGAAGCAATAACAAGAAGAAAAGAGAAAAAACTAAAACGTTATTTGGATGACAGCATGTTTAACTTGCATAAAATGTTCATAAAAGAGTACCCTCAACACTTAACTTTTATGTGGAGTCTGAATTTTTATTTCAATAGTCTTTACATTTTAATTTATTAATATTCAACATGAGTTACTTAAAAAATTGTACACCTAAGTAAGAAATGGATGTTTCCTTTCATAACAGCATGATTGTTCGGAAGTAGCTCTATCTCTTTTAATGAAATATTTTATTATTTAGTTATTAATGTTAAATTCATATCAGTTGTACCCAATAATTAATGAATTAGTCTTCATTGACATTTTATATTTTATAACATAAAATGTCTCCTCCGTTGACTATTACATCTCCTCCATGGACAAGGCAGAATTTAAAATATTTTAAATCTCGTAAAAAATAAAATAGAAAACTTGACCATTATTATAAGGACGTATAACAAAAATAAATAAAGGCATTTATGTAATTTTTATCACTTTTTTAATTACTAATTTAATTAATTTAATTTAAGAAAATTTTTTAGTTTATTTGTACCTTTTCAGTGAGAATGACCCTTGTATAATATTAGTTCTATGCAAACTAATATTATCTAGCGATCACCATAATATTATTTTGCGTTAGTTTTGATGCTATATAATATTATATTTTGTATTTTCTGACATTATTTTGCTTCGCTTTTTATTTTTTTGGAGTAAGCAAGAGGAAGATATGGATGGTAGTAGAATAATTCGGCGATACAATTTTACTTAATTTTCTGTATTGTTGTGAAGCAGTAAAACATAGAACAATAGTTTTATGTCATTCCATGCATTATTTACTTAGCAATACAGAAATACTAAATAAAATTATATTAGCGAATTCTGCTACCTTCCATTTTTCTCCTCCTTACTCCAAAGTATATCTTATGTTCAGCTGATTTTTTTGAATATTTCAAACTTAATCAGGAAATAATATTTTATTGCAACTTTTGTTGATATTTTTTTCTGTTGTTCATACAATGGGTTTTCTGACAAATTTTATATCATTAATAATTTTCAAGTCATTAATTTTAAAATGTACTCTTAATTTTTTAAAAAAAAAACTGGGCTTATTTTATCAAAATCTCAATTTAATTTGTTAGTTTGTAATATATATATATATATATATATTAAATATGTAACTTAAGCCATTTGTAATTTCAAAATTATCATTCATTATTTATATTCTGAAATAAAATAATAAAAACCACACTATATAATTATAAAGTTACATATTTACATTTGAACTGAGTGGAAATTTAAATTTAAAATTTTTTCCCCTTATAATATTGTTCAATTTTTAGGTAGACATTTCTTGTAATAATTGGCACAATAAAGAACAAAATTTAAAAATATTCAAATTACTTACTTCAACAAATTTACACATATTTTTTTCACAGGAATTGCTAAATGGAGAAATACTTACGTAACTTTATTCTTTCAGTATTTGAAATTTTATTTAGAAAAACACCTAAAAACAAAACTCAAACGCAAGGTAGAAATTTTTCCTGGGAATGAAACCAAGAAAGCAACTAATATCATGAAAATTGATAATATTTTTTTATAATGTTAAAATAACTTTTATGGGCACATCAGAGGTCACGTCATGTCGAGGGTATTTCTGCAGCAGCCCCATTTTGACCCGGCTATTCTTTTCATTAGGGAAAGTCTAGAGGTGGCTCTGTCCAAAACTTTGGTCACGTGTTCGGTCCACGTCAGTTTTCGGTCGAATACAACATATAAAACGGGAACGTTCTCATACAATAGTTTTAGTTTGATAGGCTAATGTGTCAAGGAGAAGGTCTGGTAACATGTCTTTTCCAGGTTTACTTCCATGTTATTAATGTGGCACCATTTGTTTAATTCCTTTAAAGACTGATTAAGGGCTAGTTCTGATTGTCTCTCAACACTGTNCTGGTAACATGTCTTTTCCAGGTTTACTTCCATGTTATTAATGTGGCACCATTTGTTTAATTCCTTTAAAGCCTGATTAAGGGCTAGTTCTGACTGTCTCTCAACACTGTTTTTGGGAATTTCGGTCCAGATGACTATCTGCGTAGAGAAGGCATTTGATACCGTTCTAGGATGTTGCCGACCTAAGAATTCTTAAAAAATGCGCTTAAAAAAGACTCTAAAAATCACCATAAATGACCCAAAAATAAAAAATAATGCCTTTGAAATTTTCGAAAATAGGTTTTACGTTAATTATTTCTAAAAAAATCAAATTTTTTATTTATAATTATAACAAAAAATGAGGTAGAAAGGAAATATGTAATATATGAATAAAATAAAATATAAATAAACATCTGGAAAAAATTAATAAAAATTTATAGAATTTTCAATTAAAGTTTTCAAATACATCAGAATCGCAATGTATTAGGCAATGTTTTTTTCATATTCTTAAAATAACAATATTCAGTGCAAAATTTTCACTTATTTATAGAGAAAAACTTTATTCATAAAAATTGGTCTTTAAATGAAAAATAATATCATTCAAAATTTATAAAAACTATTAAAAGCCTAATCTAAAATCTATAAAAAAAAAATCTACCAAATCTAAATCTAAAACAAAGAACGCATCTTAGAAAAAAAAAAAACTCAGCAAAAGAGAAAGCGAATATTATTAAGGAATTTTCTATTAAGGAAAAAATAAACAAAAATGCTAATAATGCAAAAAGAAAAAGTGTACTTTCCATCAACCTTCTAGTCCTGGATATCTATAGAATAGATTCTAAATTTGAGGGGAAAAAATCCTTGACCGTTTATTTTTTTATTTTGTATACAGATAGATACGTAAAAATTTTCAAATATGTAAACAAAAATTTTTTGAAATATAATTGCCGAAATTTTTAGAAAAGTAATAACATATAATTTTTCATTTTGCTATTCGAATTTCATTCTAAAATTTCATAACTAATGATAGCAATTTATTAAATTATTTCTGGGTTTCATTTTGTCAGATAAACAAGGAAAAAAGGTAGACTATGACAACTGATCAACAAAGTAAATCTAATTTATTGATAGAGCCAATTCATGAATCAAAAATTTGTTAGGAATTATTATACAATATAAAAGCGAGTACGACATATTTTATTTAAAATAACTATTAAAAATACGATATATTTTTTTCTTTCATATTACTAGGACAAAAATATTTTGATCAAAAACTGCATTACGCATTTGTTTTTGAAATTTCTTTCAAAAAATTAATAATAGTTATTACTGAAAATTTACACGTAATTTAACTGCGTAAGCTCATTGCTATGTTTCGAAAGATGAACACTTGGATGACACAAATAAATATGTCGTTCGTCTGATATTTACTCCAAAAG